GCTGTAGTTACGTTGATACTCGTAGCAGTACCTACTACACAATTAAATATTTTCACACGGAGTTCACATCAGACATAAAACATAATTTTAACAGATAAGGCTTCGTTATTACTTTAAACTTAATAATGAACCTGCGGAAAATGGTTTTAACGATACATCCGACATTTCCAAAACATTAAATAATTCTATATTTCTTTATCCCATCATATTATTTTACCGGTACTGCAATATAGAGGTCCTTCATCATCAACTCAGCCTAAAGACGTCCACTGCTGGACATAGGCCTTTAACAGCTTTCCGCGACCCTCACTAGGTCGTTGGACTACCTGGTGGCGGGCCTACCCACGCTCCGTCTTTCGTCTTCCGTCAAGGTTAGTTAAGAAGTTCCAATGCCCATCTGCCGGCTCCATCATCAGAACAGCTTCATGGTAACATTTTAAAGTTCCGTTCATGGTAAAATATTTACGTTCGTTTTCAGTGACTATTTGACTGAAGACTATTTTCCGTCGAGATCCTTAATGTTGGTCAATTACGATGTTAAGTTCTACCATTAAGCAACAAGGAGAACATATTTCTAACACAGTAAATGAAAATAAACGTACATTTTTCATCAGAAAAAATTGTAGGATTTTTAAGTCCAGTCATACATAATTACAAGCTTTTATTTAACTTGCAATATCTGTATCTTGCATGTCACGAATCTTGCAACCTAAATGAAATCCACTTCCCGATGTAAGATTTCATATTAGTGTTCATATGTATCTTCAGTGACAATACAATAATATAGTACCATGAAGCTATTCTGATGTAGGAGCCGGTAGAAGGCCATACTAACTTCTTAACTAAAAGAGATAAGCTAATCGATTTTTTGCTCATTTGTTTTGCCTTGGTGAGTACTATTTACTACACAACCTATGGTTTAGAAAAGCTCGTTTATAAAAATTGCAATTAATTTATAAATTTAATAAAGTTACAAAAATATATTCAACTTGTATGTCGGAGTGCATAAGCGGTCTTATGATCTGACTCAAGACTTAAGGGTCATGTGACATAATCGTTCGTTTCGTTCGGCTATCGATAAGGCCACTACTATTAATACAATAATAAAATTATAGTCCTAGATTTATGTATTAGTACATAGTATATATGTATAAATATTACACTGAGGGAGAGTCCAACCCGTGTCTTCGGACATTACGGTCGTATGGAATACCGCCGCCACACATGGGTTGTCAAATGACAAAAAAATAATTAACGGTATGACTAGTTATATTATTCCTCTTCTGAATTCGAATTATACCGGTCACGTTCGAATATTGATCAACAGGCGATATCTGGTTCTTGGAATTATTATAAATACATATCTACCTACTCCTGGCCGTATTATTTTATTCTGAACAATTTGGTAACGACAATTTGCATCTAGTAGTCCGCCATAATACAATGTCACAGCAGCATAATGCGTCTTTCAGTCTGTTCTCGTATAATTAAAATAACAAATAATACACAGAAACCAATTTAAAATTTTGAAAACTGTACTTTTCGACAGGCATTACTATTATGAGGTATTTGACTTCATTACCTTTTAGACAGAGAGCAACGAACTTAAAAAGTAATATTTACCTGTCATAGGTACATTTACATTGATCGGTTGTATCAAAACAACAGCGTGTTATCTCCGGACTACTATTACTCAAACTAAAATAGTGATTTTCGGATCTTTTTAAATTTTCCTCATATATAATTTCCACAATAGGCAACGTTAAAAAAAATTGATTCAATTAGTTTGATTTGAACTGTCTACGATTACGAGAACCTTTATCTGGGCTGATGGTGAGGTCTATCGGATTTAAATAATAATAACAATAAGAAGACGCCCAGTTTTAGAAACACCTTTATATGTTGATATTTATATTGAGGTATATCAAATTAGTTTTAAATGGTAAAGTACACTTTGTTGCACTTGTACTTTCATATTTCTTTTCACAATAATCTATACTAATGTTATAAAGAGGAAAGATTAGATTTTTTGTTTGATTGTAGTTAATGTTTCAATATTAAACATATTGTTTTGTGATCTAAGCTCACTCCTTGACCTGCAATACATTTTCTTGTTTTTTTAGGTAGGTACATGATACATCGCAAAAGAAAAAAATACAAATTCAATGTTAACGCTTTCTTTAATTTTTAAGCTATTGTTCTTTAGAAAAACAAACTAAGTTATTATTTTAATTATATTTCTGGACTAAACAAACTATTTATGAGCGTTTGCACTCTGCTAACATTACTGCAGGACGAATATTCAATATCTACACTAAATTACTAATATTATAAAGTTGAAGAGCTTGTATGATTGTTTGGTTCAACGCGCTAACCTCAGAAAATACTAAGTAGTTCGAATTAAAAAACTCTTAGTGTTGGATAGCGGTGTTGGATGGAGTAATAGAAACCGAACATCAATGAAAAATGCTTCAAAAACAAGGCAAATTTGTTCCTGTTTAGAGACGCAGACGAAATTGCGTGGGTCAGCTAGTCAAACATTTACGTTTATCGGACGTAAACGTTAACTGTTATACAATCTAAGCTACTTCCGAATCACACCGAACAGCTGATCTTGACATTCGCTAACTGATCTAATTCATTGCAACATTTAGTCACAACTGCCTACTCAAGCACAACGCTAGTAAGGTCCCTGTTATTAACACCGCCGCCGTACAGATACCTCTTCATTTAGCGCGCCAACTCATGCGTTTCGAAATTTGACGGATGAATGAAGTTGTCAAAATGATGTGCGCATTTCAAGGTTTCGTCTGGAAACAATGCATTAAAATAAAATGTCAATGGAACCATTTTTACTTAACTCTGTTGGGGTTAAACAAAATATAATTAATTTATTGACAAAGCAACTCGTTGTTGCGGTCACTTTGCATGAGTTTATTTAATCTTAATTTTATACAAAAAAGACAAACGATTTCCAAGAAATGCAAACCAAATGTATGAAATAAACGCGAGAATTTAATTTGAGGCGAACATCAAACGTCGAATTGCAGAAAAAACGCGTGAATTCCATGGAATTAACTAAGTTTATGATTAAGATAATTTTATGTTGTTCCTTAATGACCGATGTAGATTACTAGGTGAGTACAGTCACTACAGTTCCTTGAAACAGTTTAAGTATAAGGGTTAGTACCTACGGATACCATGTTTGGAAATTTACTCGCATCAGTATTGCATCTAACATACCAGCAACTTAAGATGATACTTATCATCATGCTCAGAGTATTAAAGTCTTAACGGCGCGGAGAGCGCAAAAGCATATGGCGAAATTAAATGTAAGGATATTTATTTCTGCAAGTAAATCTTTTCAGATATTTTTACAAGTCGGATACTTGAAAAAATAATTAAATAGTGATCGCCTTCGCAGTTACGGTCAGAGCTAGAGAATTCCGAATTATCTGCAAAAGCTAGTTTGGTTTATATACATGTATATGTAACCTCCTTTCTAAGGAGAGGTCTATGTCCAGCAGTGGACTATTAAAGGCTGTTGATGATATGTATACGACCCATACCGAATTGAACCCAAATTTTCTATTACCATCTTTCTTAAATTTCCATTTTAATTTCCAAGTACCCGAATGTCCGGCTGGAACAGATTTGCCCTATCCGTAGTGGAGATCGAATTATAGTTGGCAAAGAGTAATTATATGTATATATGTAAATAAAAGTAAAATGTAATGACACATGTCCGTCAGTGTAATGACAGATTAAGAATATGGCGTGACACCACCACTATTCATCCCGCGGTTGTCGTAAGAGCCGATTAAAGAAGCAAACTCAAAGGACAACAGCACTGCAAAGAGAAGCGTGCGCGCGTCTGGCCAGCGTGGTCTAGTAGTTCAAAACCTAGTTTATAAAAAGAGTCCTATGTCCAGCAGTGGACTATTAAAGACTGCTGAGGTAAATATCACATGTATGATTAAGCGTCATTTAACTTGGATATTTGCGAAATAGATTAATTGGCGTTTTGTAGCAGCAATAGTGTCATTAATTTTAAATAGGCAAAGCGTTTGTCACAGTTACTACTTAAGGCCACCCCACCAGTGTTTTTCGGTGGTTGTTATATTGGAATCGAACCGACTGAAAACACTCGGTGTCCATACCACGAAGAAAATAGCAGCGAGGAGGCTAGAAGGGGTTTATGGCAAAATTGCTGGCATCACCACAATTTACGTTTGAATTGAATATTCAATTGTTAAATTCTTACTCTAAACTATCATTTCATCTAAGTTACTACTCGTAGAGCTTAAGATGGTTTTAAAAATCATCATTTGTATTCATAGAACAAAGTCATAAACCCGAGCATACTTCTTAATTAACCCAATGTATCACACCAAACTTAAAAAAATATATATATTTCTTAGTTGATGGTTTTTAATATGATGGTGATTATACATTTCATAGAAGTGGATGACTCAAACACGCCTAATTTGTCCCAGATGACTGTAATTAGAACCGGACAGGAACATGTACTTAACTATATTTACGTATGTGTAATAAAACTATTTCTAGTATGTCACTAGATAATTATTTTAAAATTAACTCTAATCTTCCACTTAAGTATAGTTGGAGCAACGAACTTCCTAAAAGTCTATAGGTAACTCGAAATTATGTTTTTACCTTGTACGGTAGATAATTCCTTTGTTTTCAAATAATTTAACAAACTTGATGTGAGAAAATTAAAGCTATTATTCAGTTTGGGAGCCCAATTAAAATATGGGAGTTAAATTTTAATAAAGAAATATATGCAAAAAACTTTATTAGTATTCTTAACTGCTAAATTAATTTAATAAACTTACAATTTTCACATACATTCGCACTTAGGTGGATTTAAGAGTTCGTCGGTCATTGTTCGTCGCGGAATGATATACACAGGACATGACAAAGTATTTTCTGCCATCCGGTGGCATGACTAAATCACAAACGATTGTTCTGATTGTTCACTACTTCGTAGGACTATGTCTCGGAGTCCGTAGATCCCTTTGATTCCTGTCAGACCACCTGCCTGCAGTGTATTGCACATAACCCGGATCTGTAGGGGTGCCCGACGCTCTCCCTTCCGCGTCGTTAGTCTCTTTCTCCACTATGGGCTCCATAGGAAACAAGGCTGGTGTATCTGCCCTCTTGGACCTTGTCGACCCTCGCAAGTAATCTTCGAGTTGCTGCAAAGTCGGGGCTGGTACAGTCTTGGCTTTAGTTGGTGGAGTTGGCGATTTTGACCGCTTCTGTTCAAAACTTGGCGACATTTCGTCATATAAACCATGCAACCGTCCTGTTTTCACCTTCGCAAACACAGGCGTTTGAGGTTCAGGTAAATAGTTTTCTTTGACAGATAACTTGCCTGCAAAATTGTCTAGATAATCTCTAAGGTATTTTTCGTTGAACTTAGCTAGTTCTTGCTCGTAGTGGAATCTGTCTGGTATGGATAAAGGATCGGACAGACGTACGTAGTTGCCAGACTCCATTCCGTTGCGTAAAGATCCGAATTTGGACCTATGTAGTTCGTCCTTCTCAAGTGTATCGTCAAACTTTGGATATCCATTCTTGGACTGTTCGAATATGGTAAGTTCTTCGGTTTTTGAATCTTTCTCGTGTACATTCTTCTCTAAATCTAAATCTTTGGGTCTTTCAGCAGGTGTGTGTCCATCAACTACACTAACCCCGTTCGCCTTTTCGGTAGGTGGACGTCCATTTAAAGTAGGTGATGAAATTATAGACACTTTTTTTTGTGGGCTCGGTGATGAAAACGGGTCTGTTTGAGATTGGTTCGTGGCTGTGTATATCCTCGGACCCATAAGGTCTACTAGGAATAAAGCGGCTACGAATAGCGAGAAACTGCCTAGGATGGATGCGTTCACGACGAGATTCCGGGGTATAGAATCTAAGGCTGCCAGTTCTAGACCACCTGGTGGAAAGATTTCAGTTGTAGTTTAATAAAGAGAAATAAATTGCTATTGTAAATTATATTATTATAATTTTATGCCAATATTATAGGCTAATTTTTCATGTTTATTCGGTTGGTCCCTAAAAATTTTATAAGCAATAACATACAGACTATCTTTGCCCTGCCACACTTCGCTGTGGCACATTGTGGTTGCATTGATGAGAAATGAAGAACAACAATTTAGATAAATAAAAACAATCTTTGAAGCTGGTTGTATATCTTGTCGAAATGTGAGCCCAATCGGTGCTGAACTTTTTGAGTTTTGGAAGCGTACAGTAACCAACTTAACATTTTTAAATAGAATTTACCAGCAGTATAAAAGATAAAAAATAGAAAAAAGTGTTAATATGACAATAAACTTACCTAGAATCAAAAAGAACAGCATCCCGAACCCTAAGAAATACCCCTCCAGAATCCGCCGGCCCCTCGGTATCTCTTGAAACACTCTTGCTATTATCAGGCCGAAAGTTATAATTGTATAACCTGCAAACAAACATGTACACTAAGTATAACTGAAAAAACTTGTAATGAACTAAAGGTAAGTATCAATGTAAGATTCTAAGGTTGTAAAACAAGCCTGTTGTGCGCTAGTCACAACGCGAAAATCGTCAATCGTCAAATCTTTGTTGTTGGATGAAAGGTACCCTATGTCTATTTTTATACCCTAAACATCTTCAAGGTAGAAAACGAACTAACAAACTCACATTTGCATTTATATCTCTCAATTTTTTTTCATTGAACCGTCGCGTGACGTATGGGAGATGAAACATCGACATAATGTTATAAAAATAATCAAAATAAAAGGAAAACCCATGAAAGAAAATATTCAATATAGCACAATTATTTCAATTATATGTTACTGATACTATGATAATACGACAATACTATCAAATAGCGTGGCGATGCATGCTGTGACGACGCGTCGCATCTGGGAGGTCAGATGTTTCACATCAATATCTGTTAGGTGTTAGGATGACATAAGGTGATAAGATAAGGATACTAAGATATAATTGCACTAATCAAAGTAAAAAAATGACCTTTAACCTATCCTTAATAGAAAGACCTATAAACGCCCGCCATCACCAGACCTTCGTCATTTTATAAAAAGTTCAGTTTTTTATTATATGCTCAACCGAGGTAGGAACGGAACAGAGTATGAACTTTGGATCATAGCGGCTTTAATAACTATGAAGCAGCAAAGGTGCAAAAAATTAAGAGTTAATAGCGTATTTATAATCGATTCCAAAAAAAGCAAGGAGGATCCATTGCGGTTAGTTTTTTATTTATTGTTACCTCAGAACGCCGATTAGAACTATTTTTTTCATCGAAGAGGTTATATTTGCAGTTTAGCCCCTTTCAAATAAAAATATAATACCACCTCTAAAGGCGGAGAAGGAAGAATACATTTTATTACAATTTATTATCACACCTTGAAGTGAGTGGTACCTTTCAAAAGTTTTTTCTTTGAGATGATATTAGAAGATCATTTTTTGGAGCTTGACATTTTGTTTCGTAGCAACCCCCTGTAAAACGCTAAATTCCCAGTACTTCCCTCGAGCATTCTCCCCAGTTGTCACCCGGGTGACAAATTTTCTCAACTGTTCACTTTCGGTTCGAGCTAAAGGGGACAACTAGTAACTTTTTTCTCAATTGTCACCCGGGGCAGCGGGTGATTTGCGAAAAAGATGCAACGGTTGGTTAGGTTAGTATTGTGACCAACAGCGCCAGAACCATAGTGCTAGAATCGAACTGCTTGCGTTGTAGTAGTTGAAGCAATTCCACTAGCTTATATGGTGACAACTGAGAAAAAAGTGGGCAAAAGAGGACTACTGGATATAATCGTGCAAGTTTGATAAAGTATGATAAATTATAATTTTATTGTAGTCATAAGTAGTAGAAAAGCTGAATTATTATATGTTACTACCCATTAAGGCATAGTACGGTACACAGGCAGTAGATTAATTTGAACATTAAATATAATGATCGTAATTTCAACTTTAAACCTCGGAGCGTTATTTACCTGCAATCTGTATTATTGGGTTATTCTACTCGTATACAATACCCTACATATGTATACCTGGCGCCTTTACGCAATTATGACACAGGGATGCATGCACACTCGATGCATAGGACACAGGATATCTTCCAACCAGTAAGAAAGGAAGTACTTTAGACTAGGGATACACAAAGCACCATTACGCAAGCTAAGTTGAAAGGAAATGTAATTTAGTACACAATTGAATAAACATTAAGTGATTGTTGTGTCGTAACTGTCGATAAAATCAACAGAATTAAATACTCCACTCTGAAAAGTGAAATCTTTTTTCACTTTGCCTTGGAGCAGATATGACAATGAAGGCAAAGGTGTCCTGGCTTTGTCATCGGATCAGGTCCAAGACGCAAAATTAACCCATTGTCATTGAAAGTTTATTTGAGATACAACAATGGGAAAGCTAAAATCATCTATTACAAATTTTTTTGCTTTCAAAGATAGCTAGCTAGTTACAAGCTTTAATAAGAATTATATATTAATCGTCATGGTCGTCGAATAGTGTCGCATCTGACAACTAAATGTTATTTTTTGATATAACTTTTTTAGTTCTTAATCTTTAATTATGAAAATTGGCATACAAGTGAAAAATAGGGTTTGTGTTGCAAAATGCAATAAAAATAACAACTAATAATAATACAATTTTCTAGAAAAATCACATTCTTCATTTTACTTTTTTCAAACGAACACTGAATAATTTATAATCTAAAAAACAGTATTTTTTTCTTGAATGTAGTAATAGTATTTAGACAATATAGTATTCAAATATTGTAAAAACTGCATTTCGTATTTTTTTCAAAACCGAAAATTATTTTACTATAATGACGATTTATTCGAAATACGCACCGCTTAAAGCAGAAACGTATAAAGAAATTAGTTGACTTGCCAGTTTCCACAGTTCCTGTTGGTCACAGCATAGCATAGCATAGCATGATGGTATATAGCTTATAACCTTCAGGATATAGAAAACTAATTTACAAATTCGAACCACTAGTTCTTGAGATGAGGGCGTTCAACTTAACAAACAAACTGTTCAACTTAACTAACAAACTCTTTAGCTTTATAATAATATATTAGTGTAATAATAGTATAAAATTAAAAGGTCAACGTGTTATTATCCCTATATAGTAACTTTGTGGCTAGTGGACATCATGGCTAGTAGCGTGCCATAATAATTTAGACGAAATTAGACGCAAACATGAAGTGTAATTAACACGACACCTTTACGATGTCATGTCTGCCCGCCCCCCAGGTGATAGATTTACAAACACCATAAAGAACGGCCTCGTGCTAACGCGGACACATAACGCATGGTGGTTGCGTAATGTGAGGCAAGCCCATACGTATAACATTACCCACACTGGGTAAATATTACACTAGCTGTCTCTCGCAACTTCGTCTATCAAAATGGCATAACTTTTACCGTTTTTACAACATTTTTCAATGCTCGGCTCTTATTGGTAATAGCCTATAGCCTTAAGCGCCGGAGGTCGCAGAACGACCTCCGTCCTCCATAACCGCAAGCCTGGTGAGGCCATATATCACCCTAGCAGAAGCAGGCCAGGGTGGTAGCGAGCACAAAGGGGACATAAGCGTTCCCACGATTAGACTTCGCGACATAACCATCCCACCGGTGGGTGGTATCCGAAGAGATTTCCGCATAGAAAAAAAAAGATGGGCTATCCAATACTAAAAGAATTTTCAACAAACTCTTCCGCTTTTTAATATTAGTATACATTACACATACCGTGTAAATAAATTACATGAAACCATACGTACATATGTATCTAGGTTTTGGGCTAAAGATATACAACAAATTTATTAAAATTAAAGTAAGTATATTATCTATAACATTTGATACGCTTTAAAGTATGTTTTAGAAGCTAAAATATAATTAGTTTGGTCGTAGTGTCACCGACTATAAAGTGAAGTATAAATTACTTAAAGAGGGTACCTAGTCAAATAATAACCAACTCTGGTTACTAACAATATTAGTTCATTATAAATTCCACTACAACACGGCGTTGAAATTTGTATTTATTAATAGTTGTATGTGTGTTCCTAATACGGCAATATAGACAGGAATAGGCTGTGATGATCCCTAATAAGTAATATTAATATGGTGTGGCTTACCTCCATAAATAGCATCAGCAAAAGCCCCTCCCACAGAGTCCCAGGTAACGGATGTAAGCAGCGACCACTCGCGAGACATTTTCTGCAGTAGCAACGCCAGCCGCACCTCATCGTCTTGAGAGATCCTCAGAGTCACCAGGCAGGCAACGCACATCAACTGTAATAATAATAAAAACGTATTTGCCAGGCATGAGACAAAGAATAGGAACCATTACGAGTACACACAAGATTTATTTTACCGTGTGGTGACGGATTAAGAATACTGAGTGTCACCTCCCCTATTCATCCCGTGGGTGTCGAAAGAGCCGACTGAGGGAATAAACAGCGCAGGACAACAGCACTGCAAAAAGAAGGAAAACTTGATACAAACCCTATACCAACCCGTCTGGCCAGCGTGGTATAGTAGGCCAAAACCTCCTTCCTAAGGAGAGGATTATGTCCAGCAGTGGACTAGTAGAGGCTGTTGATGATGACAAGGTTTATTTTAATACATTTTAAAACCAGACCTAGTATGGTCGAGGGTGCTTGCGTGTAAACGGAGACAAACAGAACAGCAACTCTTTCAGACAGACAGTCAGACACTTCAATTAAATACTTATTTATCAAAGTGTCTGTGGTCGGCGACATCGTGTGCCTTCACTCTGTTCAACTACGTACCTACCTTACCACTCATCTTGATCTCTACTCCCTAGATGTTTAACGTTTAACCTTCTTAAAGTACCTACTATAGTTTTCTACGCTTAAGAGTTATCACTGTTGCCGAATGCACCTATCGACTGTTACAGTAATGCTTTTAAGTTATTCCCGTTTAAGTGATTTCGCATTGTGTAACTCATTGAGAAAGTTTGTATTTCGAAACTATTGTATATTTTTATGAGAAGACACCGCATATTTAATTTATATTGTAATAATTAACTACTAATTTAAAAAAAAAGGCTAAATGACTTGAAAGCCCCTGAAACACGATAAATTGTGTGTTCTTCATCCCTTAATTTAAAAAAAAATCCTTTAAAAAAAAAACAAAAAAAACCTTGATGAACTTCTCAAATTTAAACGGGGCAAACTTTAAGTACAAATATATTGATTAAAGAAGAATGATTAAAATCGTTTTATAAATGTGCAAGATATTGTGATAATAAATAGTAAGCATCACATAGGTACGTAGAGTATATTTGTTCAAACACTCACTTATGGCATAGAAGAATTAAGCCCTTACCATCGGATAACTTAAAAAGGCTTAATGCACTCAATGGATGTCACTGGGTCAATAATTCTTCAATTCATTACGCTTTTATGAATTTCTAGGTAAATCTAAGGGCATTCATAACCGCGAGTACAAAACAATGATTATTGTAGGTACTTTATGGATAAAAAACGAAGACCTTGTCAACGACACATGTACGCAAAGCACATCCCAAAAGGAAATATCGCTATTGTGCTTCTAACAATGCACCACGACGACAGTCCTTCGACGACGTGATTGTGGCAAGTGACGTCATTGTCCACCGTGGGAGTGACATTGGAGACGCACTCAGACGCAACCAGTGTGCGCCGGCCGCCATTTAATTATTATAACTACATGTAAATAAATGCTGTTGTGGAACACAGCACGGAAAAGACTTACTGTATATACGAGTACATAATCTTGTTTTAAGTCGCGTGTTGTTAATGTAGGTATATTATTTAACTTCTCAAAGTGTTATGTTTCATTTCAGGGTTAATATTAAATGCGGTAGTCATTGGCACCGACGATGGAGTAATGATTAATGACTCAATTCAAAATGACATTATTACGATTAAGGTTCTGCTCTGTAACGGATGATTGAGTGATTTTGAGTTGATTTTTTTCCAGCTGGTTAGGTTAAAGATGTTTGATATATGTCTTGATAACAGCTGTACCCGGTTACCTCATATTTAAGGCGCAGTATGACACACTAGGTGGATATAGTAAGTTCGATACAGAACATAACCCCTCTGGAAAACTCCGTGAAGTACCAGCCCGAAGAGGCAATAAAGGCGTACACGAACAAAAATAATTATTAAAAGTTGGTACTAAGTTGAAAAGGCTTTTAAGCTGGTGTGGTGTCTAGGATTGGCAAAGTAAAAGACACCCAGACACTCATGGAAAGCGTTTTATTCCCAAATATAAACGCTTTCCATGAGGTTGGCAGTACAATTAATTGCTAAATTAGTTGCAAGATTTATAGGCTAATGGCTGGGTTGCCCTTGAACATACAAAGACCCCCTTGTCTTTTGATTGAGCGTCGGTGCTAGAAACCGCTGATTTGAAGGGTTTATCGAGAAAAATATCTTATCTCTGCTTTATTTATCGATGACCGATATTTTTTTACTTTCGGAGTGTGGAGATGACTCCTTCTACAATCTTGAATAGATAAATGTTCGTTGTCGAATTTCGACCGATAAAAGAACATTAGTGCATACTTACTTACAAAAATATAAACGTAACTCATAAAATAAATAGCACCTAAACATTACTGTCCAAATCATACACCTACCTCTAAATGCGAAACCAGAGTCCCAAATACCAACACTATCTAAATATAATAGAAAGTAGAGTGAAAAATGCACCTAAGTAATAAAATAATATAGAAATAAACAACGATAAATCATCGCCTGAGATGATCAATGATTGTTTATATCAACTGATGATAAAGAAGTGGACTATGTATATCTTTCGAATTAGGTAGACCTGGGGTTGAATGCGATGATACATTTGTTGTAATAAAATAAATTGTATTATCAAACAGCGGTTGGTGAGGTATTAGCAATGATTTTAAAATACAGCAATAATTTTCCAAAACATTGTACAAGAGCAACAGCCTGTCGGCTTGTTCTCTTTACTGCTACCTTCACGTGACTTTTGCGAAATATTTAATCGTGTAAAATCTAAATAGGTAAGCAAAATTTAATAAATTTAATTATAATTATTGCTGTTGTGTAGTAGTAATAGTTGTACGGATCTCCCTACACTTTAATTTCTTTAGTATTTTAATTTCTAGTACTAGTGCCGGGCACGCCCTTATTGCGGCGATAAGACCAGTTACGGAGGATTGACTCGAGAGGCAATACGAGACCCTCTTATGCTGGCTGATGCAGATGATCACCGGGAAGACATGATGCAGAGTTTTCGAAATACGTTTATACGTTTATAAGGTAACAATCATTAAAAACAAAGAGGTAACAGAGAACCTCCTTCTGTTTTTGAACTCGGTTTTAAACGTTGAAGCTCAAAGAAAAAAAAAGATGAAACTATCTTCAAAATTGTTTAAAAGCTTATACTTTATGTACTTGCCCTAAATGTTAGGCATATAACGTTATAAACAGATTGTATAAGCGACTATTTAATCTGTAGATCGATTAATGAGTCAGAAATGGGAATGTTGCAATTTTTGCTAGTTAGAGAAGGCCGACAATTAAACGTTATACATATTATTACGTAAATACCTACCCATACAAGTTTGATTCATTAATAGTAAAAGTCGACACCTATTTTTATCACTAGCTTTTACCACAGATATGCTTGCGTCGGTGTTATATATATCACTTAAAGAATGTTGATTGTTTAATAATGAGTAGTCCGATCCCGCCAAGAGAGGTAGTTGGGGTAGATTGCATGCTGAAGGCGGACGTTGACAGAGATCTATATTCATTCATGTTTACATACATATACAATACAATACTTTCAGCTAGAAGAACAATGTTTCCGACGGGTGGAAAAAAAATTAAGAAAGGAACCGCGGGCAAAAGCTATATGTCGGGTAATAAACAAATCAATTGCTACGTGTGTGACTGAACGGCTCGACGAATGTCATTTTCTTTAAGTTTCCAGATTCGTAAAAGAATTATGAAAACAAAAAGTCGGAAAGTTTGGTATATTCTATTCTAGAATCCCTGGATACTAGATTCTAGGATTCCTATTTCCTTTTTGATCATTGTCCCGGAATGGTTCAGATTTTCAATTTGACGAACTAATTTTTTTCAATTTAAATCATTTTTGCTGTCGGAATTAGAGAACCAAGTCAAAAAGTAGAGCTTAAATAATATTTTGAATTATAACTCATTATCATTAACAGTCCTCAATAATCCACTGCTGGACATAGGCCTCTCATTATAAAGGAGGTTTTGGCCTACTATATCACGCTGGCCAGGCATATTGGTATAGGGTTTGTGTCAAGTGTTGCTTCTCTTTGCAGTGCTGTTAGCCTGCGTAGTTTGTTCCCTTGGCTGGTTCTTTCGACACCCATGGGATAAATAGAGGTGGTGACACTCTGTATTCTTAATCCGTCACCATAGGGACAAATTACAAGTACATTCAGGCAAAAGTTTTGTTGTTTCACCAGCAAACCAATAATCGTGTTTCCTACGAACAAGTTTAGAAATTATAAAATGCCTAGATCCAGTCTTAAATTAACAAGTGTCTGCCTTTGTTAACTGATAAACTATTCAAAGTCAAGTCAACATTTGATCAACATCAACATGAAATGTTACAGATTCTGATGATATCTATTTCGAATATCAATGACTTATTATCAGCAATGTTTCAGATCTGATAAAATCACATTACCTGTTTATAAATGTAGATCAATGACGAATTCGTTCTATACATTCGTTACTTTTTACGTAGGTCCCATGTCAAGTGTTATGATTTGACGATTGATGATGATAATGATATGTGTTACACTCAACTTATCTCGGTTTTTAAAAACATCGAAATTTCAATATTTTTCATAAACAATGCTACTACTGAGCAAAGACAGCAGAAATATAAATTCCAACCCCACTACGACTCTTAGTCAGAATCAGCAATTACTAAAAAGGTAGGTGATGGAGTTGTTACTTCCATTGCTCAGAAAACCCCAGCCAAGCAACGACACACGAAATCCAGATGTCATGATTGTTCTACATCACACTGACCTCGAGCGGATGGGCAGGCATCGTTGGGCTTTTGAGTATTGGTTGTTTTAAGTCTTTTGCTGATGCCACTTATTATTAATATTTGTATTCATAAATATGGCATGTAAATAGATTTTTTCTATCTATATGTAGAAGTACTTTGGTTCAAACCAAAGCAGTGAATCATCTTGATTGTTGACTATTTGCAATTTCAACAATAATTTCAACAATACCTTCCTAGGTGTAATAAATTCACACTTCAAACAAAACTAAAATGGACTAGGTACCAATTAGCAGACGACATAAGCTTCGAAAAGGTCACGCGCCTTTTCTACTTATGGTTCCCCTCATTAACACCAAAAAGAATATTACTCATTTATTTATCTGTTTAGTGTAGATAACAATAAAGCTGAAATAGTTTATTTACTTGATGACTAAACTGTTGACTAAAAACTAGGTTAAGTTGTTTCTGTGCATATTCTAATTGCAAAAGTAGTTACAGTGGAAAAAGACATGAGGCAGGACGACATTGTAATTTCAAGCCATGACCAGCGCAGCGCAGTGAGCACAGACTTTAGAAATGAAAGTACTTCAAGATCGTTGTGTTACAAAAAAGGTATAACTTTAGAGAGCTGTATAGCTGACACTTGGTTCGGCTTGAAAAAAGAAACGATATAAAAAGATAAATAATCTTCTCAATTTAGAATCAAACATCACAAAATAATCAATTGTTTTATTTCATTATCAACATTTTCGGGAAGTTCGTACACTATGCAAATCTCGGTTATATCGTTACGTTATGTTTATAATATTGTGGCCTATACATTTTTTTGGCCCTTAAATGTGTAGGTATTTTCACCCTAACCTAAAAGAATCTGTTCACCATTGACAAAAATATCGCGTACATAAATAAGTGCATAAAGTTATGTAAATAAGGTCTACTAATTACACAGTTGTAGTTTCTACTCGATTCAACAACACCGATCAACATAACCCGCACCTCGTAAAATAGACATACCCGTTCAAAAGATTTAGAGATCCACACTGTTTATAAAACATACCATATCACAAAAATTAATTAATTTGTACCAAATGCTTACATCCTCTTTTAGTGTCACCACCATGTTATATAGTCATTGACTCATTTACTAGGAGCACAATGTTATTAGCTAGATTGCCATAATATGACGCTGCATGTAACTTTGATGTTGCAGAAGACCACACAAAACCAGTTTTGACTGGGAAGGATGATACTTTAATAGAAATACTCTTCACCTGCTATCCACCTCATAAATCGCGCAATCGCCTAGTCGGTCCGACTGACTTACGGTCTACTTTGCTGTATGGGTAACGATATTAATCTGTATAATATCTTATCTATAAAAAAATAATCTTCCCAATTCTTGTTCTGTCTATACCAGCATAGAGGTACTTGTTCGATAATGTTTATGTTATGCAACATCGATGAATTTTCTCTGACCCTAATAATTTGTTTATCATGTGTTATGTGACCAGTGAGCTAGTGTGACAGTGGCAAATGGGATAATACTGAAGTTGAAGAGAAAAATTTAAGAGAGTCCAATAACAAAAATTGGTATGATATAAAGGCAACATCGAAGTGTCCATTTTCTCATAAATTGAATAATAATTACAAAATGCATACCTACATAATGAATCAATTAACAACACCCAGGCAAAAAATAAATGATCCTGCTTATCAGTTATTTGTACCAGGTGGGAATCGAACTCTCGATCTTTGTTCATATATAAGGATCATTAACAAGTACACCAATAGAGTCGCGTCCTATTCTTGTCATAATTTAATAAGATTTTGACTTTAAAATGCGTTTGAAATTCAAAATATTGTTGGTATTTCCTTTGTATTCAGATTTATATTAATGGCGTTTAGTGACATTGATAATATTAATACGAGTCTATTTTATCTGCTGAAAGTACTTGAAATTAACGTTGTTTACACTGTACACTATGTTGAAATGTAGTTAACCCAGTGCTATTGTCATAATTTCTAAAAAAGAAGACATATGTTATAAATGTACCATAATGCCAATGATCACATCACGCAGTATTTACACCACCAGCGCAAGCATGTAATAATAATTAGGTAATAGTTAAGTTCAAAATGAAGTTTATAAATTGATATCAACTTATAAATACCACGCTACCAAATAAAATGGTTTGCATCACCGCACGTGTGTTGTAACACGAATACTTACAAACTCCACAATCTTGAGGGCGACCCACTTGTCGCACACTGCCATGGCGCGGCCACTGGCTCGTCGAGCACACAACACAGTACCACACTATACTCGTATTATCTGGGAGTGACGCGATGACATAACACACAGTTTACAAGCTGAGACATCCGCGCGACGCGGCCGCTGTGTTTTGTTTGAGGCAATCGACCATTTTCACAGTGCGTTAGAGTGACATTGAAGGAAAAACTTGAAGCTCTTCTGTATGGGCGAGCCGCAAGCGGCTCATTCAAGGCTCGACTGCGCTGATTGCAACTTATTTCGATCTTTATCGATAGCAAAGTTTACGTCAGCTGTTCGCGCAGAACTGGTTTCTTAATATTTATTTACAATAATCTTGTAATAGTTCGAAAGGTATGTGCGTCGTATGTGTTACGTGAACATAAAGTGTATTTAAGTAAAGCAGTGCAAGCAACAAGATACCCGGGTATTATGCAATAAAACAGCGAGGACATTAAACCATTATACTTAAATTTATTAATCAATACTGGCATGCAATATTATTTAAAAATCTCATAAAACATCGAGAGATAAATTCATCTGGTCTCGTTACAAAATGTTCAGATTTTGTTAATCGCATATAGATAATTTCATAATGCTGAGTTTATTAATTGCTGAGAAAACAGTTCCAAATTGATTTACTTAAAACCTGATTTTAAATAGACTTATTCATACACAGAAATAGTAAAGTACAATAACATGAATATTTTCGTTGAAAAAACATCAAAAAATGCAGATTGCCAGTAGTGCAATAATCCTAACGCGGCCGCTCAGGGCGGCCCGCAGTTGCCCTTAATTCATATTATCTATAACATTAAAACAATATTGTAGACTCATGCTTAAAATATATCGATGCTGCCTTATAAAAGCTTCAAATTCAATATATAAATAGTTAAGCCCTTCAATTGGATTCTTAATTAAAATACATCTAGGATACAATTTAAAAAAGCCTAAAATTATAAATTTACCTCTCTTAGGAATGCATGCGACAGTCATAAGGTTCACAAGTCATGCACAAATAAAAACTACATACTTTTTTTATTAAAACAACCCAAAGAAGACAAACAGAAACAATGAAATATGCCCTCTAATTATATCGCTACCACCAGAAACTTGCCCTTTAGTACCATTTTTACAAATTCATCATAAAAAGACTTCAAGTTCCTTTTATTTAAGTCGAGGTATAATATAAATTACTATAACATTATTTGATAAGAATTAAAATTTGGAAATTTACAGTATAATTATGTTCTCATATTATTATGGCCATACTGAGTAATGAATAACTGTAGATTCAAGTTCAAACAGCAAAAAAAATTGATTGTATCCTATTCTCTTAGTGAGAATCAACAATTGATTTAAAGGTTTCCAGTGATCGTTAATTTATATTTATATTGAAAGGTAGATATTTCTTTGGGTTGATTTTTACCATGTCACCAAACTTTCTAGCGAGTGATTGATACAAGAACCGATTATTGTGTATAAACATTGTCAGACTGCAAGGCTGCAGCCTTGCCTTGCCTCGGTAGATAAGCACCTTAAATCATCAACAATTTGGTAATCTTTCGTGAGTCTAGAAGATCTTCGTAAGATACAGTACAAGATCTTCATTCTGTCTTCCCGAGTGTGTACTGAGAACACCGAAATGAAGATGAAAAATAATAAGATTGGAAAATGGTTAGGAAGGTGATTAGGTATTTCAATGACATGGAACAATCAACCCATAGATTCCACATCAAAACTTTCCAAATGTTAATCATATAAAAGCATACATACATATATTTAGTTAGTATTATGAATAGTGCACTCTCACACTCCACCATAATCATCATGTATCAGTGCACACATGGCAAACATTTCTTAATTATGCAATAAATTAATCAACAGCAACAAAAAGATTAAACATATAGCGACAGGACAGTTTTGCAGCGTTTACTAGCACTAGGAATATCAGCCACTCAGTACATCCCATTTCATGCGTACGTAAAGTATTTCCTCGTAATTGTCAAGCAAATATTTTGCGCACTCATACTATTTCCATATTGTGAGTAGCAATGTCTCGAACATAGCACAAATCAGCTTATTGCATTAAGTTGTAGAATAATAATTCAGGTCGCAGTATTATAGAGAGATGTATTTTTCAAATCAAACATATCTCAGAGAAATTGTTCATGTGAATTATATTCGTATTTGGTGTATACTGACGGTAACAAAATAAAAAAAAAACAAATAGAATATCATAAGGAAGGTAATATTCAGCACACTTGAAGCAGTGCAATGGCTGATAATGATGTGCTGTAAAACTGTCCCATTAACAAACGAACGTCACTTACTGAGCCTCCTTTCCGGGAGTGATAAACTCCTGCAGCGGATGACGGGCAGTCCACGGATTAAAATCACGCGGCTGCGGCGGCTGCGGTAGGCGTGGGCCCGCGCCCAGCAACCCAGCACCCGGCGGGGCCCACACGCCCGACTCGCCTCCCTGTAGTCCCAAACCACCCCCGAACCCAAGCGATGTCATCGACGATACCAGGGAATCCATTCCATTGTTTATGCGGTTAGACCATCTGTTATAAAGAAAATCACGTAGTTGAGACGTATTTCTATCATGAAAAAAAAGTATTATTAAACACGGTGGCCCCGACATGCATAGGCAACAGTAAACATCAAATACAAAAAGCACTAACTCTGCGGCGGCAGCGGCGCTTCGTTGAGCCTCATGAATCATACGCAGTCGGCGCGCCTGAGACCACGGCTCCAAGGTATAGGATGGCGCAGCTGGTGGAGGAGAAGTGGCAGCAGGCTCCTCAGGTGCGCGAGTGAGTTCAACACCACGCTCAGGTGTCCAGCGCCCAACCTAACAAATATAGTGTACAACTTTTTCTTAAATGTGTTACATTTTTGCTAGAGAACTCTTCTAAGATTACTGCGGTTGTCACAATCAATTGTAGAATAGATACGATTCAAAGCCGCATGTAATCGATAGCTTCGACTTAATTTAACAAATGCACAATTGTATTCGAGTAGAGTAACCAACTAGTTTTTCTTGCCAACAAAAGCCCTGAGTTTAAAAACTTAAGTTTACAAGCGTGCTATCTCGAAAATAAAAACATGACGTACTTAATTCAAACCTAAGGTCAAAACCATATTTTATAAACTTTTTTTACGGTATAAGGGGGCGAACGAGCAGACGCACCTGATGATAAGCAACTACCGCCGCCCATGGACACCTGCAACTCAAGTCACAGGAGCGTTGCTAGCCTTGAAGTCCCTAGCGCTCGAGTCCAAATTAAAAAAATTAGGTAACAAACCTCCCGATATTGTTTGAGCAGCTGCGGCGATTGCGGCAGGGACCAATCCACAGCGGGTCGGGCACCGCAACCCCAGGCCGCAGCAGCCGCGGCCACTAGCGCCTTTCGCGCCATCGCTGCTCCGCGGTGAGACTTATATTCGACGATCGCAGCGCAGGACGCAATCGATCGACGAATACGAACCTCTTGCACTTCATCCGTCAAAGCATACAGCAGGCGAACGATCTCAGCAGAGGGGGTAGTTGGTGGTATCCGCGATATAAATATGCGGCAGTTGTTGATAGATGGGCATACACCTATTTGACAAATGAAAACGTGTTTCAAATGATACCTTATTCCTATGAATTTTCAGTTTAGCATCAGTCTTTCAACATAAACATACTATACGTCTATATGCAATGGGACTGACATGTGCAATTGTAATAAAGTCCCTCTAATAAAAAAATCTAATCTTTGCATAGGAAACATGACGTAATAGGGGTTAAAGTATGAAATTGCCGTTGTAATTACTTTGAATTGACATAAAACCTTCATGTAACTTTTTTGAGATTTTCATGTAAAACTTTTTTCAAATGGCACCTATAAAGTTGTTCTTTAAAAAAATTTGCATTATTCGAATTTCGACTTTCAATTGTTTTTTCTATTCAGCTTGGACGTGAAAGATGGATACTTCGAAAAGCCGTGACATTTCTGAATAGAACAAACGCGACGGAACTAATGTGTTGCCTTGTTCTATCAGTACAAAAATGAAAGAATATTGGATCGAATTGTGACATGTGATGAAAAGCGGATTGTTTACCTATTAAGTTGGAGAGTTTTTAAAACCAGCCTTTTCAGATTTAATTATCTGTGGATTGCCACGCAATTCGAAATTCAAATAAATGTTATTCGAAAGCCATGTATTTTAATTTAAAATTCAGTAGATAAGAGTTTTGTTTTTGTGAAATTGTGGTATAGATTGGGCCCTAAAGATAAATGGTTACCAAAACGTGAGAACCGAATTACACCACTGGATTTGTGTTAAGAAAAGCTCTAAGATTAATAATGTGGATCTAGATTTTTTGGTCCATGTCTTTTTATCCCTTCTATTCTTACACAGGCCGACAACCCTGAGACCCAGAAACCAGAGTATGCTTCTTCGAAGGTTTTTTTGTGCGCTGAATCCGAATTACCGAATTTATCATATTTATGGTTAAGTTTCTTTCTCTAAGTTTCTTAGTTTAAAAGAATCTTACTACAAACCCGACAACCCACAACAAAAAGATATCTGAGCAAACTCAACGCGATTTAAAAGGTTAAGGTCTATACTTTAAGAGATTTTAACAGTTTTTGGGAGAAAAATTATGTTACGACGCTAAAGAGCCTCAAAAATTACCAAAACAGCTATTTTGGCACTTTTAGGTTAGGATATTTCAGACACTAGAGCCTATTCGGTAATTTTGATCCGATTCGGATTCAGCGCACCAAAAACCTTCGGAGAAGTATATTCGGTTTCTGGGTCTCAGGGTTGTCGGCCCGAGAAAGAGTAGAAGGGGTAAAAAAGAAATGGACCAAAAAATTGAGCGCCAAGATCCAAATTATTGATCTTTGAGCTTTTTTAACACAAATCCACTGATGGAATTCGATCCTCACATTTTGCATACTCACTTAGCTCTGACGCCTGCACTAGCAGTTTTTTTGGCGCAATGGATAAACTAACGAACTACCGCTGCGCAAACAAGACGAAACATTAACGACGACGACGTCCTTACACTGCTTGCATAAACACGGTCCATTATTGGTTCAATCGTTTTAGATCTGGAAATTTTGAGCTAAAGAACGACCACAAGACGAATTGAAATCGAAATTGGAAACGGATCCAACTCAATCTACGGCAAAAGCTAGAAAAGTGGACTAAGCGACCATCGGCGAAGCATGCACAGCACTACTAAATCGGCATTGAAACGAGGGAATTCTGAATAGAGGGAATCTTGCAATGAAAAGTGGATCCTTTACATCACAGCTTCTTGCCGAATGGCACAACAAACGGTGACGGACAGTCTATAGATAAGAATTGCAAAAAAATGGAGAAGCTCGCAATTTAACAACCATGACTGGTCATTCGCTCTTCCCCACTGCTTCACCAAAGAGATTTCTACTTTTTAGACATTTTTTTTTTTTAAGTGGGAATTAAATCAATACCCGACGGGACCGTAAAAGGACTAACAAGCTGCCATTAAAATGGCAAATTTTGTATAAATAATTTGTGGTGTGTGTGTATAAACATTGATTGGCAAAAATAAAAAAAAATACTTCTACAGTAAAGGGATAAACAAACTGCATTCAAAATGGCAAAATTGTATAGATAATTAGGGCCAGTACTTTGATTGGCAAAAAAAATTACCAAAATCTTTATATTTTAATTTTTTTATATAAATCTTCCAAGTTCATAATAGGCTAATACCTAAACACTGAGTCATAGGTTTCAGTCTGAATGTAATTGAAAAAACGTACCGAGTTGCCACGAAGGTCTTATCATATAGTTGTTGAACATCCGTATGGCATTACTTGCTTCGGCATCGGTGGTGTACATCGCAAAAGCATATCTATGACAAAAAAAAATACATTTTATAAATTATTAGGCTATTAATTAGCAAGTAAACTCATTAAATTTCCCTTACCCTCTATTCCAGCCTGAGAAATTGATCATGAGTCTAAACTCGAATAGCTCTCCAGCTTGACGGAACAGCGGCACCAGCGTGTCTTCAAAGCAATCATGAGGAATTCTGCCGATGAAGACCTACAGACAAAACATTACGATTCATCACTGCTATATGACTATTCCAATTTCTTTATTTCTTTAGGAGCCGTTCATAAATCTAATTCTAGCACTTCCTAGATGTAAAATTGCGACATTTGTGACGTCACACTAGACAGGGGCACCCCCCCTGTAATACAAATATAATCGATCGACTCGTATTACGTTTCTCAATATGCCAAAAGCCCTAACATGCTCACAACATAGTCCGACAAAATCGTCAACAGTAAACAACGTGGTCCCATGTCGATTTTGTCGATAAAATTCGTATTAGTTGAATAAGTCCTTCCTCGAGCTAAATATTGCTTTAAAAACTGTTAGCCATGTGACGAATTTAACAATAGAATAAATTTTCTTTTAATATGAGTAAGTGTTTTGACCTAAGACTGCAATATAATAATGATATCTACACTAGTCTCAGACACGGTCGCCTGATCCCAAACTAGCGACACTAACTAAACCGGGAATTCTAAACACCTACCTGGACGTGTAGATTCCCTAAGGCCTGAGGGGACGCGAGGATTCTAGTCCACTAAAAGGGGCAGGAGGGTGAGAAGCTATTATTTGGCTTATTATAAGGCACATAATAGCTAAGTTATTGAGTATATTGCAGTGAGAAAATAGACCCACAAGCCAAATCACCCAAAAACCAAATCCTCCAAAATACAAGTCATCAAAAAGGCAATTCCCCCTTTTTTTTTTTCGTGCGGAAATCCCCTCGGAAACCACCTGTCGGTGTCATGTCGGACTCGAACCGACTAAAACCGCACGCCGTCTCGGGTACTAATAGCCGGGGAACCAGGTATACCCTAGAAAGGAAGTCCCTGGTGCCCCGACATACCACGGGTCATCTACAGACGAGTGTCCACGGTCTGGCCATCGCAGTGGTGGCACTCAGGCGTTGGCTCCTTGCGGATCAGACACAGGTGATCCCCGAAACATCCTTTCCCAGTGATCACCTGCGTCAGTCGGTATGAGAGGGTCCCGTGACGCCTCTCGAGCCAATCCTCCATAACGAGAAGGCAATTCCCCTATTTTTATTGTAACTTTCTTGAAGTATTAATCTATTACGCCATTCTTACTCTATTATTGTACTTTCTTGGCTACATACATGTACTGCCCCGTATACACAACGCAATTTTTTTTTGTTTCCAATATTGTCATCGTAATATATACATAGAAAATCAATATATTAAACTGGCTTTTGCCTACGGCTCCGCCCGCGTGTATGTCGGTTATCGCGGTAAAATGTAACCTATGCTACTCGCTGATAATGTAGCTTTCCATTGGTGAAAGAATTGTTAAAATCGCTTTAGTGGTTTAGGCGCGAAAGCGTAACAAACAAACTCACTTTTACATTTACAATAGAAGGATGTATTTTACAACCGACTGTTTACTATAAACTGTAGTAAAACGTGCTCGAGCTATTAGCTCAAGTTCACATCGTATCGTATACCTATGTTGCTCTAGCTACGAGATCAACAGACGCGTTGCACACTGAATGCGCGTATTAATTTTGACAAAGATCCTTAAATAAGTTATGAAACTAATTTTATTTTAATTTGTATTATACTTTATTAAGAAGAATGATAAATTAATTTATTACAATTGTGAATCGAGTTATTTAAAACTCATTGGAGTGATATACCACAATACATGCACCTTTATAATAGTCTGACCTTTATTATTTGTAATATAAAAAAACATAATGCTAGAGACTAAGACTGATACGTTGATCTTATTCATAGCCATCATGTAAACTATTTTTCGTACGAGAATCGATCTTCTGTAGTGAAAAAAAGTCATCGCCTTGTGGACCGAAATGTTTAGTGCTTATCTATATACCTATTACCTTTTTTATTTGTTCTTCAAGACTATTCCGGTCTGGCTCACCCGGAGCCGCTTAATGCATAAACGCATACATAAATTATTAAATCTAAATTAAACAGTAGGCTCAAAAAATGTACGTAGTTACATACCTACAAAATATTTCTACGACTCCTACCTATATATTTTTAGACGACTCTTATCCATTTAGATACAATAATCAAATTTCGCTGATAAATTGATTTTGGCCTTGCCTCAGATTTAAATGCTGAGGAAGTGAACGCAAAGCAAGCATTTCTATAACATTTGAATTGGCATGCATCGATAATCTAGAATAGTCCATTGTCTCAATGAAGTCTATAAATTATAAAAAGACGCTATTTCGCCACGAAACGTTATAAGATTCTTAGTTTTGGCGCGGAACATCCCTTCTCACAATAACGAAGCGCCTGTAAAAATCTCAAATACTTCAATACTCAAAGTAAGGAAACATATACTGGCCTGCGGCTTCACTCTACTATTTTAACGATTAAAAATGTTATTTAGGTACATCCTCACCTCACAGTTTCTTGAAGGTTCAGGTCCACTCCATGCATGAGGGGCCTTTCTGTAAATCCTTTGCCCATTTATTTGTGTAAGAGTATACGACGTATTATTTTCAGTAAGAGATAATAATCTTGATGATAATTCATACTGATTCACTTCACTAGATGAATAATGCTTAACTGGAGGCATTTTCGCCTATATATACCTATATTACTTCTTATAATAATATTTATGAAAATGTTCAGACGCGTATGCGCTCTCCGTGATTTCCCAATAAAAGAAACAACAGGAGATCCAATTTCTTTTTCCGATAAAAAGAAAATGGCGCTTTGTCCCCAAAATGGAAGCTTCAAAATGACCTTCAGCGTGTATTGTTTACGTGAGTCAAATTATAACCGAATTTTTAAAGAGATAGTTCCGGCGATACTTTAGTGATTAATTAAAGTAATATTGTAAAATATAATCATACATTTTGGCCTTAATATATACAACAATAAACATATTTATAATATATGAATACAAGTATTAATTTGAACAGGATATTGTCCTAAAGAAATTCAAAGAGAGAAACAAAAGTTTTGTTTTCCTATCAAAACATATTTAGCATTTATTTAACAGAGTAAATCTGTTGACCGTTATAAAATATTTAATTATATTATTAAAATATAGTTTTAGAAATACATAATGATTTACGTAATATATTAATTTTTCAGAAGGGTTTTATAGTAATTATAATATAATTACTGACATTCGCAACTTACTTACAACAATTACACTTCCGTTTATTTTGATTTTGTCAACCGGAAATAGATACATTTATTGTGTTCAATTGAAATAATATTGAATAGTTTTACTCAGTACATTCCTGCTGCAAAAAGTATGATGATATTCGTTTTTCAAAGTTAGAATATTAAAATAATAAAACTACATGGACATAATAACTATAGTTACAAAAAATAAATTAAATAATATTGCAGGCCGTTTAGTAAATCCATTTTGGCGGCGACTAATTTCACTCATATCATAACTTGTTCTGAGCTGCATTCTTATTATGTATATGCGTCGCGTTTTAGGCATCATGCCCAATATTTGCTGTTTAGTAAAATATTCCAATTTATCATGATTTATACTAAGCATCACTTCTGGCGTGATTGCAGTCATGGCTTCTAATCGAATTGAGCTTATATCGTTTTTATGGATACCTAAAAAGAAAGTGCAATAAGTCGAAATTAATCGAATGGTAAAGCTGTCACAGTCGCGAGGTGCAGTTTGAAAGCAAAGCCCTCTGCGGTATAGTAATGATTTGGATTTGTAACATTTCTTGACATATTTTTGTGTAAATGATAATACCAATTGCTTACAGTTAAATATGGAGCCGAGTCTACTGATCTCATGTGACGACCATTTATAGGGTTCTCCGTACGCGTCTCGGTGTGTAGCTATTTGAAATAGCGTCTGAAATGATAATTAATAACTGCTTAAGGTTCTACACTACCTATCTTAAGAGTTGTTCGAAGATGTTTCACTAATTACATGTAACACAGTTCTTAGCGTTCCTAAAATATCGGGTTAATAATTAAAATATTTATAATATGTTGACAACTTTTCTGTGATATCCATATCCCTACCACTATAAATGTCGTTATGTCACGCTGAAATATCATTAAAAATTTGTCTCCTAAGTTACAGCTTAGATATGGCTTAGAAAGGGCTATGCTCAGCGTTTCTTTAAGGGATCGCATCAGGAATGAGGTGATCTGGCAGAGAATCAAGATCATCGACATAGCAAGCTGAAGTGGCACTGGGCTGGCCATATTAGCCGCAGAACCGGCAACCGTAGTAAACGAGCTGGATGCGAAAAGCCGAAAATCAAGGCGTGCAATGGGAGAGGCCTCTGACCAGCAGTGGACAGGTCAAGTGATTCGTCTGCCTGTTTGCCAAATTTTCTTTATAAAAAAAAAAATAAGCAGCAGTAGATGGTATATGGTATATAGTGATTCCAGTCCGCAATCTTATTTTAACCTGATTTCCAATGCACTTGAGTAGAAATGTACCTAAGTAGGTATTCTAGTTCTACTCGAGGGTGAACAGTAATAAGTAACTAAATATTAAGCTACTTTTGAAAGAATATATACTACGGTTTTACACATGCGTTTATTTCAGAGATACCGGTCAAGTTTCTGACCATACCGGACCTTTACCAAGAGTTAAGCGACAGTCGTTGTTAGGCGCTACCCGAGTGAGTAGAACTATACAAAAAAATACAATATTCTTTATTGTATACCATTGTGAACATACATAATTAAAATGTACAGGTACAAACGGCGGTCAACACTGTTAGTCTATATACGAACTATATATCATTCAGAAAAGTTTTTATTCCAATTTGATCTACTTACTCGTGTTTGATTTGCATTGCATTTTCCTGCTTTTGTGAGCGTGAGCTGAGTAAGTTCTTTGAATATAGACGGTGATATTTTATTTAAATCAGATGCAGGAAAGCCACACAGCAAGTAACCAAGTTCATTGATTAACGAACTTTTTTCGTACCATAAATCGCCAAAGTATCGCCGATAAGCAGCCGCTAATATGCCATACTACAAAAGTAGATACTAAATCTGTATTATGTACATTCTTATAAGAAATATTGAGACTCAAACTTAAATGGCAACAACATTTAAACTTAAATAACAACAACGTGAACATAGAACAGCAGTCACAGTGGTGATATACATAACAAAATATATATATAGGTAATGTTATGTTAGACAACATTGTCTTCATTGCATTAATATTACAGGAACATAAAGTTTAAAACATCTATTGGAATATTGGGTAACTGGGTATTATAATTGAAACTTCGTTTTAGGATAATGATAAAACAGAAATCACATCAAGTGATGTAAATGGGATATCTACAAGAGTATGGCCAGAATTGGTTTAAAGGTATCCCTAAAATTACATAATACAAACAAAAACATAATTTATTTTAGCAAAAATCTTCAAGGATTCTAATTTGCCTTTGAAAGTTTCACATCTAGGACCTTTATTTCTAAAACCCATTGTACGATACAATGGGTTGGTTGTGGTCGTTGTTATACCTCTGTATAAATTTAACACAGGAATAAGTGCTTTAAGGTACTTAAGCCATTATTGAAATAAACGGCAATATAATGCCCATTACACATTTAGTTTATCCTATAACAATGCTCTCAAGTTTTGATTACTATTTTCTTTATATCATAAAATTATGTAAAGGACATAGGGTACCGTTCATCCAGCAAGAAGTACCTACTTACTGTGAATATTCGAAAGACTGTTATAGGCTGTTGGTGATGATGATGATAAGATAAATAACTTTATCGCGAAGCTGCGTACAAAAATGCTAGTAATTGGTGACAAAGTTTAATTATATTTGAGATTATTGTTGGTTGGACATAAAAAACATGCGTTCAGTAAAATTGTTCAAGGAAAATACATTTTATTTGTGTCCACACTGTACTATACTTTAATACCGTAGGATTTTCTAACCTTACGAGGTTGTAGTTTATCGTAATAATTGGCAAAATATTTGAGAACTGACGCATCACCAAAATTAACGTAATACAAGTCTTCTTCGGGAACAACGTTTAAAAGATTTCCAAAAGCTAAATATTCCCGTCCTTGTAAAAACGCAGCGGTTTTTCCATCTGCAAAATGTGTTATAAGTACAATAATATAAGTTTATCGACATTGAAACCATTAATGAAATTTTTAAATTCAAATTAGAGCGTGATTTTTTTATGGCATATGAGGCAAAAAAGCAGGTCATCAGTCTGCTTGTTAGCCTCGTATGGTGAAGAGTCACAAACGCGTTGCCGCCTATTGAGTTCCCCTCCACTCCGGTCGAGACAGCCTATTTGTGACGCAGCATGGCTCTCACACAGTAACTGGTAAGGCAGCATGTATCTTCATATATTTACGTCCCTTGTAGGGATGGAATAAAATCACAATCACATATGATAAATCATATCATAACACTTGTAACGGATTTAAAAAACCACTGCTATTTAATTATTATTATTACGCTAGCGCAATACTCGCGAAAAGTCTAAATCTAGAAAAAAGGTCGTAATCTTTGATGAAAAGAACTGATTGATTTTAATGCCATTTATCTTCTATGACGAAATCACAGTCACATGGGAAAACGCTGTGAAAACTTACAACAATCAATTCATCAAATGAATATGATTTAAAAGTAGCAATAATTTCCATGTCTAGTTCCTAGATCTGTGCTGCTATGCCTCGTAACAATAACGTATTACTGCTTACGTGCATAATATGGTTACAACTAGGTGCAAACAGGTTTAGCGTTCAGTAATGCACATTAGACAAAATGAAAGATCTGTGATACTCAACAAATACTCGGCCTAGTTTATTCATTTATTAGGGCAACTATTTATGAGTAGTAGTTTTGAAACTGATTAAGAGTTTACGATCGATCGATCCGTTGAGTAGGCATTCATTTTAGTTAAATAGGGAGTTAAATAGTTTTAAATTACTGCAAATTCTATCAAGGCAGGTAAGGCAAATATTTTTCATCAATAAATAGATATATTTGCACTAAACGGGAATCGAGCGAGACAATCAAATGCATTTAGTGCATTCGTTTCAAGCCGCCACAGAGGTCCATGATGTTCTCGAAGGTCTTGATCTCTGATAAGCTGCACTTCTCGTCTTATATAGGGGCAACTGTTGTGACCAATTTAATTTTTATATTTTATGATCACCAGCATCTCAGCCGAAGGACGTCCACTGCTGGAAATAGACCTCCGAGTATTTATATTTTATACTGACCTGTTATTATATCCCACGCTAATAGCGCTCTACTAATAGGTATTAAATGTGACTTTGTATACGTTAGTATGTGCAGCAGCGATTCTGGGTCAACTCTTAGAAAAGAACTGGCTGGACCGAAGAAGATCATATTCATCGATTGTTCTATTTTCACTCTATTGTCGAAATCGTAATAAGATTCTTCATACATTTCAATATTATCTGGTATAAATAATAACTAAGTAAGCTTAACAGTCAAATAATTAACTATAAAAAAGTATCAACAACTTCAATACTCCTACATCGTTTTGTTTAATTTTCACCCTCAGGAGTGGAATTATTTCTTTTGTCTAGAATGAGACCAAATGAGACGTAACTACCCTTTCAAATACAAAACCAATTTTCCAAATGGGTTCGTAAATGACGAAGTATAGTAACAAACTTGAAAAAGAATATGAAGCCGAACTGAGAACCTACTAGATTTTTGAGGTCTATTAAAATGCAGTATTAGTGTATGTAATAATCTACCTTAGTACACATAAACGCCTTCTGTAGTTAGCTGTTCATGGTTAAGAAACAACAGTATCTATAGATTAAAAACAATAGAAAACATTTTCACCGTGGCCGTCACATGTACCGATGGCCCACGAATCTTAGGCACCTAGGTTTAAAAAAAAAACAATGCGTGCTGTACAATATTGCTTGCTATCATAAATCAGGCTTCATTTTGGACTTGGAGTTGTTTCATACCGTCAGATAGTTAATTTTTTTTTGACTAGAACAGGAAATGAATGAGTTCTCATCAAGTATCTTCGTTTGCTGTTAGTAATAAATTCGTGAGTTGTATACAGCTTATACGTGGGGTTACTCGAACAAATACCAATTTTTATGTAAGTATTATCTCGTAAACTATTTAAACTAGAATTTTGCATTGATCACATAAACCTTTCAAATCGGGTATCGCAATCATAGCATTTCTGTCGTCTTCGTACTGATCGATCATATCTTCCAAAGATAGAGTAGATCCTCTTGAGAACGTTACACATTTTACAAGTGAACTGAAACGAAAGGTGAACATTTTTAAAAATAACACACATACACTCACCCCTATATCTCCTGGAGTTGGCAGAGATGTTTTAAATGTCTACTTTTACACGTAATAAGGAGACAAGCCCGTTGCCATCAATTAGGGCACTTGGGATTAGCTAGGAAAATTAATAAAAAAAAAACATTAAATATGTTACATCTTGAAGTACCTGTGTGTGAATAATGAACGAAAAAGTAGAAAAGTGTGGCAATAGTTGAGGTTACTTTTATTTAGCACTAATGCAAGGGAAAGGTATTTTTGTGAAGCATATTAAAAAATATATCATTGATGTTTTTGTACGGAAATATCTAATATTTAGCGTTGATTGACGCTATCTATTTGAGATATCAGTTTTGAGTGACCTTAGTTAATGCTGAAATTTACACTACCAGCCATTTTCCTCTGTTTCACTTACAGCCATGGCCGTAGCGTGAGGTGACATACCCCTAAATTTTTTCTATTTTACTCTATCCAACACAACCATAATTATTCCAATTTAACTGTTAGTTTCAGAGATTATCATTTAAAAAAAAAACAAAAAAAAAACTTTAGCTCTATTACACTGTATGTGGAAGACTAATGTTCTCTCGTCCCGCAGAAGACGTGCCAGGCGACGAAATCGGAGTGCTGTACGATTGTCAGCCTCCATGAGCCTAGGAGTAATAAGTGGGACCGTCCGTTGTTCTAAAAGAAAAAATCCCGAGACGGTGGCGCGCGAAACACATTTTCGTGCGCGCGATTCGAATCCGCCATATAACTTCGACATTAGTCGCTGAGTAAGGTGATAGGGCATTTCTAACGAAAAGAAACCTTCATAATACTGGAGATTTCACGTGCCCCCGGCGAGGACGAATGAAATGATGAATGTTCCTATATGTGTGGTGTGTGGTGTAAAGTTTTAATGAATCTGACCGTTTTTAGCACTTATGTGTTCTAAATTTTTATCAAGGTAGTGAATCATGTTTATATTAAACAATACGCCTAACAAATGGATTAAGTGTTTATATTTTGATACCTTTTCGTGATTAAAAACAAGCAAAGTTGTATTAACATGATTACACGAATATATATCGTTTGCTGAAATAAAGTAATGTCACTATGTAAAAACCAAGTAACTGTATACTTCATACTCATAAATTATAATAATCGTGATGGTTGTGAAATATTGCAGTAGGTATATAACAAAAATAAACGGCAACTGGAGCGATAGAGCTAAATGACTGGAAAGATTTGAGACTTCTGGTTCTAAATCAGTTTTGTAATAATAGTACTGTGGTGACGGATTAAGAATACGTAATGTCACCACCCCTGTTCATCCCGTGGGTGTCGTAAAAGTCGACTAAGGGAGAAAACTACGTAAGACAACACTGCAAAGAGAAAGAAAACTTGAAACAAACCCTGTACCAACCCGTCTGGCCAGCGGTGTATAGTAGGCCAAAACCTCCTTTCTAAGTAGAGCCCTATGTCCAGCCGTGGACTATCATAGGCTGTTGATGATGATACGATTTGCATCCTTGTAAAATTGTCACGAGTGTGACCTAACTTTAGTTCGTTCACAGTCAATCCTCAGTAGAAAAAAAAAAATGAAATGTACTCAGCTGGTCATCTTAATCTCAAATTAAATTAAGTTATTGTTTAACATTTAATTTTAACGACCTATCTCTAAGAACATGAATACAATAAGTTTAAATTCAAAGTAGATAAAATGCCCACATAAAAGTTTTCAATCATATTGTATGTATTTAGAAATCATTTAACTGAAGGTGTTCATTTACTATTAGCTTACCTTCGATAAAGTTACAATTTGCTGAGCATTAAACTTAAACAGTATGTCATCAATGGCTCCTTGCTTTGGTGGATCATTTCTTATCTCAGTAACCGCAGTCAACTCTTTAGCGTAAAGGGCTACTCTTATTCACCTATATCAGCCTTACAAGGCGTTCTGCAGGGTTCACATCTGGGCCCGCTTCTGTTTGTCATTTTTATAAATGATCTGTCCTGTCCCTCTCTTTTGTACACCGATGATCTCAAAATTTTAACTGATATCAAAGACCAAAGACAATATATAGCTCTTAAACATGACTTAAAAGTAATGTCTGACTGGTGCTCATTCAACAAAATGAGACTAAATGTGAAAAATGGTGCTTTCTTTTGGGATTCAATATAAGGTCAAGAAGAGATTGTAGACAGCAACATAGTGTATTGACTCTTTTTTCTAGCCTTGTCCAAAGCGGCGTTATATATGGATGCCACAGAAAGTGTGCAGAGGCGTTGTCTGAGATACGTCGCCCGCAACTTCAACTATAGTAGATCGCTGTAAGACTATAGTGACAGGTGAACTGAGTTCAATATGATTTCGTGCAAGCCCGCCGTGGAAGATATGATCTCCTCTGCCTTTACAAAATTATTCACTCCACTGTCGATGCGCCAGGTCTGCTGTCTGCGGTCTCTTTTAACACGTTTTAGTTAATTAAGCGTGGCAAGTATTTGTATTTGCCACATGCCTTGTATTTTGCCTTTACATGTTGTGCATGGTAAATTTAGACCGTGGTCTAGACCTGTATCTGTAAATATATACCTATCACTTACCCTAATGTTACCTGTAACATGTAATGGCAGTAATCTGTAAACGTGCCTTTAAAAAAAAAAAAAAAAAAAATTATGTACAAAAATCCCTTGTATAAAATAAAGAAATAAAAAAAAAATAAAAAATAAAAAAAAAATGTATTGTAGCCTCTCTTAATAAATGAAAACTACTAAACGGAATATCAATATATATATAATAATATCAATATATACCTATAATTTTACTATAACAATAGAAAATTCATAAAAATATTATTTTCTGTGATTTAGGAAATTACTAAAAAAGCAATTTTATTGTAGCCGGTTTCATCGTCAATTCTCGTTATCAACCAAGGTGTCATTGTTGTCAACATTGTCATGTCGTATCTGGAATGCGACTAACATAACCTTTTTCATTGTGGCCTTTCGAATAAAATAACTTCGTTATTACAGTTTATGTGCCAAATATTTAACTTCTTTAATACGAAATGCTCTTAGTTTTAAAATAACTACGATTAATTGATGACATAATTGTACTTATCAATTGGTTACGTGGTTTAGTTTTGTTGTTGTCAACACTCAAGGAACATGGGTATTTTAGAGAAAATATCTGAAATCGAAAAAGAAATAGCAAGAACTCAGAAAAATAAAGGTAAGATTTACTATTGTGTTAACCGGCATTTAGAGAATGATATTTAAAATAAAAAATCATTAGTGCGAATGTCATTACTGAAAACACCTTTCGTTAGTTTTACGTTAACTTACAGTTGTCAGTCCTGAAGATTAATGACGGAATCAATTATAAGATAAAGCATTTTATAATGACACAAACTATATTTAAATTATAAGAATATCAGTTTTATTAATGTGGCTACAATCTAAAGATCTAAAAAATTAGTTTGCATGTGCTAAACACAATTACTAATAGACAGATTATTTGTACAGTCTCGCATAGATATTGTGTGGTTTGAAAGACAAGTTATAATAAGTAGTTTTTATAATTTGATTATTTAAATAATCCATGGGTGTGAATATTGAATCCATGTACTGTTTACATTTATATCTCACAAAATGCCATATAGCTCATAGAAATAACTAAATCAAGTTGAATTACTATCATTAATAAAAAGTAAGAAATTAGTGACATCAATTTATGGTCTAATGAAACTAAATACCAACTTAATATAACTTAAACATCATAATAATATAATTAGCTAACTGCTTATAAATGCAAAAGCATAGATGTACTACACAATATAAGTAAACCCAATCTAACCATATCTTGTGTGAAACATGGACACAATTTTTTTTGTTAATTCTAAATCTATAATACAAAAATAATCTATATATATTCATATTATATTTGACTTTATATATTACATACAGCACACCATTATATATGTATAATAGTAGGGACAGATGTTATCTGTGTGGTGACGGATTAAGAATACAGTGTCATCAGCTCTATTCATCCCATGGTCATCGTAAGAGCCAACTAAGGGAGCAAACTAAGCAGGACAACAGCACTAGAAAGGGAAAACTTGAAACAAAACCTATATCAACCCATCTGGCCAGCGTGGTATAGTAGGCCAAAACCTCCTTTCTAAGGAGAGGCCTATGTACAGCAGTGGACTACTAGAGGCTGATGATGATAATGATGTACATATACTGAAGACTCTGCAAAATCAGTTGAATTAATTTCTTTATGTTATGTAAAAGTTTGAAAAGAACATAAATTTCACCTCAAACCAAACCAACCTCACCTCTTATGGTTGGAGTCCTTATTATTTAAGCAATGGAATAGCTTCATATGTTAAGTTCAGAATGGGTCTAGCCTTCTTGTGCTGTCGTTGACAGTAAATTGGCCTGGCAAGTGTAGGCTACCATGTACTTATAGGTTCATATCTAAAGTGTAGAACCTGGCCTGGTCTACTTGTATTGTATTTATAAGCAAAATAAAGTAATCTACTACATACATTGTTAATTTCTTTCAGCCACTGAATACCACTTGGGTTTATTGAAGGCCAAGTTAGCTAAATACAGATCTCAGCTACTTGAACCATCCAAAAAAGGTGGCGACAAGGGTGAAGGCTTTGATGTATTAAAGTCGGGAGATGCGCGAGTGGCGCTTATAGGTTTTCCGTCAGTAGGTAAAGTAAGTATTTTTGTTTATTTTCTTTTTGTAATATTATATCTTTTGCGAAATCTAAGATGACACTTTATTTACGAGATTTTTTTTTGTCTGGAGATTGGAGACAATTGTAAAGACACATATAGCTATTTTGACAGTTTATTTTGTCAGTTAGGAAGTAGAGGTACAATACCTTAAAAATTTCTTACTTAATTCTGATACTGAGGTTGAGTAAGTATCCTTTGACTAAAAAAGGTATCCTTTTATTTTTTTTAGTCTACTCTTTTATCAACACTGACGCACACACACTCGGAAGCTGCTAGTTATGAGTTCACAACACTGACTTGCATCCCTGGAGTAATAGAATACCATGGTGCCAACATTCAGCTTCTTGACTTACCTGGTATCATTGAAGGTGCTGCCCAAGGCAAGGGTAGGGGAAGACAGGTAAAAAAACTATATCTGTCACACTTTTTGTTTAATTACTATTTGTCAACAAACAAAAATTTTCAGTAAAATAAGATAGCTCAAGTTATGTACTACTTATTGATGGTTACAAAGATAATAAATATTGCGTGTTTGAACATGAAACGACAGTTAACGACTGGATATTGTTTAAAAGGAACACACGCCAAGGATCTAACAAAGATTACGTTTTGGAAACATTATAATTCTATTTAAATTTCCAAATATTTCCTTATACTACAACAATGTTGTCTCTAATAATTCTAACCATATCATGTGTTGTCAGGTGATAGCTGTAGCGAGAACGGCTGACCTGGTGCTGATGATGCTGGATGCAACTAAACCCTATGTGCACAGACAATTGCTTGAAAAGGAGTTGGAAAGTGTTGGCATTAGGCTCAATAAGCCTAAACCTAACATTTATTTTAAGGTAAGCACTAACTAAACCTGTACAAGTTTAAAACTGAAATTATGACCGTTAGAAAGCCATACTTCGGCATATATGAAGCCAATCAGCTCGTCGAGATTGATATCACGGCTCCTAGAAAATTAGCAATAGTTATTACTTTTTTCGTTACTTTTAACCTAGTGAGTGTGGTTACGGAAGTGCCATACCACCATTTAATTCCTCAGAAAAAAACACAAAGTGTTTCCCAATATCTCTATTACTTGAATAACTTTTTTCATTTTTTTATATAAATCATAATTAGGATTGTTACAAGCATATTAATTAACATAAATATTTATACCCAAATCAATCATGCCGTTCTTAAGTGATGCTCACCAACAAACTTCTTCCTCCATTCTCATTCAGACCTCCATTACCCAAATACTATATATCGAAGTTCTGTAGAAAAACGGTTGTCGGAATTTCCAACTACCCGTAACAATTGCCACAGATGTTTGAAAACTTTCTCCATCTTTTGAAATTGGTTAACAAATGATGTCAATGGATCCTACATATATTTAAACTCATTATAACTAGTCATCCGCAAAATTCCAATTTTGAAGTGTTGAAGGAGAATGTTTATTTAAAACCACTGTATTATTTAAAACTATTTGTGTGATAAATAATTCATTGCTGGATGTAGGCCCCTCCTTGCAAAGGAGATTTTGGCCTACTATATCACGCTGGCCAAACAGGTTGGTATAGGAGTTGTTTTAAGTCTTCCTTTTCTTTTCAGTGCTGTTGTCCTGCATAGTTTGCTCCCTTAGTCGTCTCTTACGACACCCACAGGATAAACAGGCGTGGTAACACTCCGTAATTATTCTCGTATTCCTAACTGTGGTGTGTGACCACACAGACACGTTTTTTTTTAAACCTAATAAAGTTTGTTGACTCACATATACAGGAGTCCATCGATGTCATGTCACTTACTAGTTGCTTGTTCCTTTTATTTATTTTTATAAGCAGTATTTTTTCTTTTTTTGTAAACAGGTGAAGAAAGGTGGTGGCCTCTCATTTAACTCGACGTGTCAGCTCACTAAGGTTGACGAGAAAATGGTGCAGATGATTCTACATGAATACAAGATATTTAATGCAGAGGTTTGTAAAGCTGTTTAATTTTCTCAAAGTTACTCAATGTTTACTATGTACTGAATTAGGTCTGCTTTTTTTTACGACCTTTGTACACAGCTCCCTTTGTGCCATATTTGCTTACTTTTATCCCGAGAAATAATTATGTTCCCGATGGCTACAAGAAATATGTTTAACACGAGTAAATATATACGTTCCAGGTACTTTTCCGCGAGGACGCAACAGCTGATGACTTAATAGACGTGATCCTTGCGAACAGAGTGTATCTGCCGTGCTTATATGTGTACAACAAGATTGATCAGATCTCCATACAGGAGGTGGATAGGATAGCGAGACAACCTAACTCTGTCGTCGTTAGGTAAGTAATATCCATTTTGTATAATATAGGGTACAAACGAAGACTGCCTGACCTGACCTAGAGCTCAAAAAACGGCATGAGGGGTCTATGGACCTAGGTCAGAACGTAGTGTCGCTATTTGGTGTATATACATGAAATAAAAACTTCGTTCCAAAACTCCAAAATGCATCAATGGCCTTTAGGATGTGGGACGCCGGTGATCGTATCCTAACGTAATGACTAACAGAAACTCTAATGCGACTTTACATAGATCTAAAATCTACTGTCCGCTACAATTTGCTATAGAAGACAAAAGGTGCGGAAAAGTGAGTGTACGAGAAAGGAAATACCATGCATTCATGCATACATAAATTACATGCTAAGATTGTTTATAGTACATTATTTAATTTGCTTTAAATTGTGAAAAATGAGATTCGAAATGTATTTTGACTTTCAGTTGTAACATGAAGCTAAACTTAGACTTTTTATTGGATACGTTGTGGGAATACCTGGCTCTCATCCGAGTGTACACCAAGAAGCCTGGACAGCCCCCAGATTTTGATGATGGACTTATTTTGAGGAAGGTGAGTGTTGTTTAATTTTTTTTATGATCTTATTTTTTGTTGGTTCATATTATACTAATGATGTGCTAAATATTATAATATCATAAGTAAGTATAATATAAATAGTAATAAAATTATAACTGGATATCCGAGGGAGTAAAGGAGTTATTTAAATTATTATTATAAATTTGAAACGGTTCTTTTACAATATTACGTTATATTAATAATAATACGTGCTTGTTCGTGTGTGTTTGCATATGTGTACGTGTGGGTGCGTGTGTGTTGAGCGTGTATGTGTGTATGCATGCAGCATATGAATTTGTATATGTGTGTGAGTGCATTGCTTGTTACATATGTATAATTGTGACTAGGTCTTCCATACTGTCCTAATTCAATGAATTTAACCACATGTATGTGGCATTTTTCGCTGCATTGTTATTTATTTTACTTATAAAATAATATTGTCTACTATTTTCTAATTTTTTCTTATTTATTTTTTTCATTTATACATGTTACTAATAATATTAACTAGCAATTAATTATTGAATTGATAAAGGGTATTTATCTGTGTGGTGACGGATTTAGATTAAGGATTGTCACTACCCCATTCATTCCGTGGGTGTCGTAAAGGACCACTAAGGGAGCAAACTACGTAGGACAACAGCACTGCAATGAGACGGAACACTTAAAACAAACCTTCCCGTTTAGCCAGCATGGTAAAGTAGGCCAAAACCTTCTTTCTAAGGAGAGGCCTATGTCCAGCAATGGACTGTAAAGGCTGTTGATGAAAGGGCATTATTTAACTATCATTATAATAGGGCGAAACCTGGTATTTGAATTAAAAAATATACATATATAGCTCTCAATTCGTTGGAGATCAAGCGCTAATCAACTTAGAAAACTTTTAAAAAATCAGTACTAAAAACTATCACCTTTCCAAAGCGGTATAAAAGTAATGAAATGTAAAGATAAAATAATTATAAAATCACGAGAAACAAAGTGACATCAGCATTGTTCGTTCACACTAAATAGTTATCAATGAACGAGTGATTTGTGGGTGTGTTCGTAGGGCGTGACGATCGAGCACGTGTGCCACGCCATCCACCGCACGCTGGCGGCGCAGCTCAAGTACGCGCTGGTGTGGGGCACCAGCACCAAGTACTCGCCGCAGCGCGTCGGCCTCGCGCACTCCGTCAACGACGAGGACGTCGTGCAGCTCATCAAGAAGTAGACCTGTGACCTCACTCCTTTATTCTCCAGCTCCTTTTCCTCTCCTGTTACTGACTGGAATATAATTAGAATGTCTGATAATATGTAATTAGCAATGCTGTCAAATTTGTCATACATCTACCTATGCTCAAAATGATTTTGTTCTCCCATGATATCTTGAAAATTAAATTGAAAATATAAGATATTTTATATTTATCAAGTTGACAGCGCTAAAGCTATCACGTGTAATACAAATATTTTCGTATCAAAAATAAATTTCACATAAAATGGAGATTGCTTCAAATATCAAACCAGCCGACATTAACAATATCATATTATTATAACTACGCTTTGTTTTCCATTTCTGTATATTTTATACACGATCATTGCCCTCATAACCTTAACAAAAATTGAGTACGTAAGAAAAATAGTTCTTTAACTTTCACGTTCTATAAAATATATTGAGAAAGAAAACATTCATATAATTTTCTACCGCAATATTGTAGGTACTCGATCTATCGAATCATAAAATACAAAAATATGACTAAACCTTTTAAAAAATTACTACCGTATTTAAAAAAAAAACCATTACATATCTTAAATTTGCTATTTCTTAAATTCTATTAGTCACATTTAAGGATAAATATTACAAGTGAGGATTACATTTACTGGATCTATGCTAGTATTGATGTGTAACGTCTTTCTTCTCACTTTTCTACGATCTACAATCTGTTACTGATTTCGTAAAACAGGACGGTAGTTTGTAACAGGAAGCAGGGAAAACAAACGCTAAGACTTGACCAATGAGCGCGCGCGGTGCTGTAATTGGCTGTCAGATGATAGGTAAGATTTCAGATGTTACACATGATCCGCGACTACACAGTATGTCTCACTCGTTTTTCTCTAAAATATTTTTTCATTCAAATACAAATATAAATTAGGCATGATAGTTAATTTTATAAATCAATTTCTAAAATATTCGCCTTCTGTTTTCGGGGTTTCATTCAAGTTCGGTAGTATAATATTATGCGCTTATGATCTATAAGTTTAATGAAAGTATATTTATTGCCTTGATATATGATAAAAAGGATACCTAGAAAAATATTATTCAGTTGAAATTACATCTAACTTTTTATTAACTTTTATATTTTCGCGTTCTATAATATATAATTATATGTAAATGTTCATACATTTAAATTGACTGAAGTTTCGACCAGAATGCTCTGGCCGTGGTCACAGGCTGACCCAGACTAGAAAAAGTTAATTCCCGAGTATGCATATAATTCGTATATCTAAAGTTTCGGAAGACAAATGCATGTTTTCTGTGCCACACAATAAATAAGTTCGATCTCCTAATTAATTCCGGATCATTTTAACAAAGTTTTAAAAATATCAATTTGCCTTTGGATTTTTTTAAAGGCGGTTTTTTTGGAATTTTAAAGAATATCTCTCTTTTTACTACAAGACAATAAATTCTCTTCTAAATATATGTTTGTCTGATTATGGCAACATAATTACTAAATAGATAGAACGATTAGCATATAGTGTTTTAATTAGGTTTAGGATAGAATTATGGGTTTTTATTTGTGTGCACACTAAACTCGTGTTTAAATGCAAACTAGGTATCTTTTCTTTGTTGTATGTATGTCATATTTGTTGGTATATTTCATTGCTCCGTGTACGCTAGTGCCTAGAAACGTTATTGGTACTAATTCTGTTGTTCGAAAACTCTCTTAAACTAAACTAAAAATCACTAAAAATTTGTTTAGTTCTGTCAAACAACGTTTGCTATTCTGAAAACGTAACATTTAACAGGAAAATTTTTTTTGTGATTTTTAGTTTAGTTTAGATAGTTTTCGAACAACAGAATTAGAACAATTGTAAACCATTTAGATTAAGGGAGCAAAAAGCATTTAGCTGTTATTTAATGCCTTTGTACAGGAATAGGTCATATTGTATATACTCATTATACTTTTGCATTGAAATAAAACTTTTTTAAATGCAGTTAGTCGTTTTAATGCACAAGATTGCCTACTGTTAAAAATTATACTACTAAATTCGGTCATTATATTTATTTATATTTGCATATCTTGCCTGCTGTTACTACCTATCTCAATAAATATAATGCCCAACTGTCTTTAATTATTAGTCTTTAATTACCGTATTCATTTAAAAAGAAACTCATTTCTATATTAGTTTGAAATCAATGTTTTATTTGAACCACACGTTTAGACAAAACATTGATTTCAAACGAATATAGAACATTGGTGATTTTCTAGAAGGATAGAAATCCAGATCATTTTTTTATTGTTTAGCATCAATACCTCAATTTAGGCCAGTCGATGGATTGGATCCTTTTCGCATAAGCTGATCCAATTTAGCTTATAAATAAATATTGAACAATATTTATATTCAATTAAACTTTTTATGACAAAATGATTTATATTACACATTCCATGCCAATAGGCGTAGGAACGTTAATTAGGTGTCTAATAAGTTCGACGCTTTAAAGTCCCAACGTCATGTTATAATACTGTAAAGATTTTTCGAAAGAAAATAAAAAAATATTACTAGTCTAATCCATAGGGCACACTACAAAATTACGTAGGTTTTATGACATTGAAACAAAACTATAACCCATAAACAAGTTCTTTATTTCATTAAACATTATTCACTATATAGGTATAGGTACAACCACATCAGCTTACATCTCAAATTATACTAATAAATTATTAAATATAATAAATACACGAGGTATTATTTAATATTCATCTTTAATATTGAGCAAGTCCGACTCCGCAGTAGCGACTGCCCACCGGTGCTCTGTGATCTCCAGGGCTTCCCACTCGGCCTTGAAAGCAGCCTTCGGGTCTGGGGGCATCGCCATCGCGGCACCTGACATCTGTTCTTGCATTATTTTAGATTGGTCAGCAGCTGTGTAAAAGAAAATAATTTGTAGTAAGCATAATGTTTTATGAATCAGTAAAAATAAATTAATAAGCCTTTTTAAATTTTAAGATTGTAAAAAACTGAGTGTGGATCCTCTTTTTACAAAAAAAACATTTATCTGCTTCATAGACTAGTCAAGCTTCTTAAAGTGTGTCTATCATTACCATTACTTCTAAAGATAGGATAATAGAGTTCTCACTGAATTGGCAAATGACTAAGAAAGCAATGATCCATAGAAAACCGGTTAATTACAACTACTAGTGTGCTGTTACAGTTTTCTGGTGATACATGAATAGGAGTCTGATTGTAGCCAACGAGTGATACAAAGATGATGTTAAGTGATGAATTACGTGGGTAACTGACGATATTTATTACTAGTGTTGATTGATATTATGTAACTGTACATACCATTATTCTCTCCCAATACGAGGGCGTATATCGTGCGAAGACCGAATACGTTCAGGAAATACCACGAGGCGGAGGACACCCATGACGCATCTAGGTATGCAAGTTCAACCCCTCTCTGCAGCATTGGCTTGAAACGAAGTGTCAAAGGGAAAGGCACTTTGGCTGTAGAAGAAAAATTACACATTGTTACAGTTTTAATAAAAGAACATACTTTGTTTGTTGTTTGTTTGTTTGTGTATGTTACACAAACAATCTCGTAACTATTAACTTGTTTTCACAATATTAAAAGTCCAAGGCAGTTTAAGATAGAGATGGGAACTCTCGGTCATGCAGTCATTAAAAAAAATTTCAACAATTTTTTTTGTTATGTTACAATATATGCTTTGTTATCAAGGGAAATACCTATAAATAATGTTATTAGAGTACCTACAAAATATCACCTCTTCCAAAAGACATGATCCTGTTACCAGGGTCTCACACAGTGTGCTTAGTTAAAGCTAATACAGAATAGTTAATAGACTTTGCATTACATCTATACAGAATAATTAAAGCATTTTTAAAGTTACTATATTTTTTTTAATTCATTTATGGTTTAAATGGCTAATTCTGTTGTTTGAAAACTCTCTAAACTAAACCTAAAATCACAAAAAAATTAGTTAAGTCCTGTCAAGTACTACATTTTCAGAATACGAAACTTTATTTGACAGGACAAAACAAATGTTTAGTGGATTTTAATTTAGTTTAGAGAGTTTTCGAACCACAGAATTAGCACGAATGTATCTCTTTTTCTTGTTTTACTCAACTTTTAGTACTAAAATTTCACCTTTTAGTATGTTATGTAAGATCTCTTAGTGGTTGAAATTTAACTTTATTAAATGAATTTTTCATGAAACTTTACATGTTGCATGCGTTATATTGTTGACCCTGACTTTTCTTACTTATAACAGGTCAACAAATTTTGATTAAAAATAGTAACTTTTGGTACTTATAAACTTTAAGTAGTTTAAATATCATAATCCTTCATCTGCTTTTTAAAGTTGGACAACAAGACTTGGTATTTTTTTATGATTGACAATTTATGCAAGGCACTACCAGAGTAGTGGTGTTGTAAATGCCCATAGCTCACAGTATTAATGTTCAATTAACCAGAAGTTTTTTTATTGGCCATGCTTCACAGTGGGAAATAAAATACATAAGAATATCTCAAGGTGTGATATGTTAGCACAAGGAAATCTCTGGATCTCATAATTATTTTCAATTTTTTTTGCTGCTTTTATTGTTGTTGCAAAAGATATCAGTAGATATCTTAGTGAGAGACTTATTTAATAAAAAGGGGAAGAACAAAGAATACTTACTGGTAAGGAAACCACTGAACATCCAATTGATCCAGCCTCCAATGACAATCATAGGCAGCACATTAGTAACATTGCCTTTCAGCATGTCTGTCATCATGCCAGGGTCAGTCATTGGGTTCTGAAACAACAATGATTATGCTGTTAAACTAAATAATAATGAGTTATTGTTACTACTTTTTTAACTATTACATTGAATACTTAACACAGAAGATATTTTTTTTATTGAGCTGGAATTCTAGAATTCTTACTAAACTACCACATGACTTATTGGATACATAGATATATTTTTTTACACATAAATTCAGGCAAAAATAAAAAAAAAGGGTTTTTAAAGAAAAGTTGGCACTTTCAATGCAGTTGCAAGATTAACAACAGGTTAAGCATAAGTTTTCAAATAATATACTATGTGAAAAGAGTATCTATATAAATGATTTAATAGTTAATCTATCTAAATATCAAATAACAATTTGGGTTTGTAATCACCTGTGAAGTAGCAGCTCGTTTCTGTACTTTAAAGTAACCAGTTTCCTCATTATTGAACCAGTGACGACGCATAGCAAATGACTGTTTCGGCAGATACTTGCCGTTTTCACGCAACAGGCGAGCGCGTATCATCACTTGACTGCAAGAGAGAAGTCATAATGTGCTTACTGAAATACTGTTTTTATGAAAATTGGTTATAAATAACCTTTCTATTCCAGTCTTTTAACAACTGTAATAATGTTTAAATCAAATAAAATAAGCAACCATAATTATTATCAATTTAAAATATACCTGTCCTGAACTTGCAGGAGTTCAATCTTCTTCTGGGAAGACAATATAATTGATACATAGTGCCTTACAATACCAACCAAGAAAGTGATGATAACGATTGGCAAGAAAACCCATAATCTAATATTTGGGTCTAATAGTAATTCTGTCATTATGATATATTGATGATAGTAATGACGAGAACTACTTCTTGAATTAAACTATCGAAAACGTATAATTTATTTATCGAGAACGGTAATGACAGCGCTGACTGGCAATGGTGACAACTGACAGTTGACGTCTCACATCTCCAATAATATTACTGGACTCTGTGGTCTTACATTTTGACATTATCCTCTGATTTGAGAAAAAATAACAAAAAAAATGACAATGCTAAACCAATAATTAAACGTATAGTAAGTAAAAAATTACTAACGGATGGTGAAAATAATAAAATCGCTAATCTATTAGAATAGTTAAAAGATCAAATAGTTAAATATTTGAAACTTCTTTAACATTGATCGTATGAGAGACTTAATAGTTTTTTTTTTAAAGTTTGTGTTTTTAAAGCAACAAAACGATTAAAGTTCAAAACAGTACAATGAAAATATGAGCGCATGTCAAAGATGGTCAAGGACCTTCGGCTTCAATGAATATTGAACACCATATCAAGTAATACAAGGACAAGGAACTTGCCAAGGACTAAATGAAAGACGAAATTGTCGTGATTTGTGTTTAAATTATTGATTTAGTTTATCTTTTAATAAGTAACAAAATAAAAATTTATAAAACTCTCTCGTTTGTTCTAAAAATGCCTCGCGCGAAAACAAAATCAATCACTGGCCCTAGCACCTCGAATAATCTAGCTAGCCACACAACCCAGGAAGGAACTGATGATAACAAACATAATGTTAATAAAGGCATAGAAGATATCAAAATTAAAACTGAACCTCTTGAATTAACAGAAGAAAAGTTAAGCCCAAGTAAAATTGATTTAAGTCAGTTTAAATTTGAAAAGAAACCTCACATAAAAATTGAATATGATAAGGAATCTCCTTCAAAAGAGGTAATGCATCTGTATACGATCGCTAATTTAGTTAAATTATTTAGTTTGGAAGGAATTATTAAGTGTTGTTTTTGATATTATTTACATTCATGATTAAAGATTATTTTTTGATGGTCAATTCTATGTCTTAAACTTTGGAAATACCAAAGGAATAAATAGAGAACTAAAAAACATTTTTTTTTGCACACAAAGGTAACAATAACTTATAAATGTAAAACAATAAACAAAATAAAAATAAATTTACTATCACCTGTGTGTGGAACAAAACTGGTCCTTAGCTGAGCATAGTGCCGCTTCTTGTAAATGCAAAACAAATTGTTGCAGTGGCGCCAAAAGTGTTGTCAAACCACATAGTAGTGGAGCCACGAACAACACTAAAATGAGTTATATTAACAAAATTAGGCCTGACTTTACAGACCTATCTTATTTAATAGGTATGTTTTGTTTGACAGGATGTAAAGGGCTTATGGGAGCCACCTAACTGGAAGGAGTTCCTTGTAAACTTGAGAATAATGAGGGCTAACAATGATGCTCCTGTGGACACAATGGGTTGTCACATGAGTATGGATCCTCATGCCTCACCGGAAGTGAGTTTCTTTTTTTTTAAGGTTGAACAGTAGGTGTGATTAATAGTGTGCTATCAACATTTTTGGTAGGTAGGGCTAAAATTTAATAGAAAATTAGCTTGCTATAGTGTGTTTACACATTACTAGCAACCCAAGTGGTTGCTAGTATCACCGCCATTACGCTACCTCCATTTTATTTTTCAATTCATTACTTTTAGATAAATATTAAATTTAATCTTGTTCCTTTTCATAATTTTATATGCTATAATACAGACATACAGATACCAGTGCTTGATATCTCTAATGTTGTCAAGCCAAACTAAAGATCAAGTGACATTTGCTGCCATGGGGCGTCTCAGAGCCAGAGGCCTGACTGTTGACAATGTACTGAGTATGAGTGATGATGAACTGGGGAAGCTGATCTATCCAGTTGGATTTTGGAAGGTAAGGAAATCTTAGTGAATAGTAGTAAAAATAAATACATACATTGTTATCATATGGCTGTATCTGTGGCTGGGACCAACCAACTTCAAAAAACGCCTCTCAGCCGGTCCATACAAATTATAAATGAACTCAGCAATAGGACTCTATATATTTGCAAGTCATTTGAGTGAACTCATAAAGGCAACATTATATATTAAAAAATTGTTAGTTAAGTTTGTTACTAGTTATTTTTGAGTTTTGTTTCTTCAAGTTAAACTAACTTTATGTCATTAGATTTTTTTTTATTTATGATTTTTGGTAAGTACATTATTGTATTGGGGGTAAACCTGTTAAAATATTGGAATACTGTATGTATATGTAAATCAATAAATAGTTGTCCTTCTATTAACTGTTGCCACCAACAGAGGACATCAAGCAATGTACTGTTTATTGAATGTGAAATCTACTCTATTAAGGTGAACTAATAGTCGAAGAAGGTTAAAGATGGCCCTTTGCTGTAGGTAATTGCTCAAGTCATACTATCTGTTTTAGTAACATTATGTAGATATTTGGTGCAAAGTCTGTTATTCAAAAACTCTAAACTAAACTAAAAATCATTGAAAATTATTTTAGTCCTGTATAAAAATGTTATTCTGAAAACGTAGTACTTGACAGCACATAACAAATTTTTAGTGATTTTTAGTTTAGTGAGTTTTCGAACAACAGAATTAGCACTATTATCTAGATATAAAAATACTTGCCCTGATTGACTGACTGATTCATCAATGCAGAGCCAAAACCGCTAAGGCAACAAACGTGAAATATTGGCAACTGATGTGTGAAATATTGGATTGAACTGGAGCACTGACTATAAAAGCATCATTTTCAAAGTTAGAAACACCAAATAAGTATTAATAGCGTGAGCGAACCCGGGGGTTATTTTTGAGTTTTGTTTCTTCAAGTTAAACTAACTTTATGTCATTAGATTTTTTTTTATTTATGATTTTTGGTAAGTACATTATTGTATTGGGGGTAAACCTGTTAAAATATTGGAATACTGTATGTATATGTAAATCAATAAATAGTTGTCCTTCTATTAACTGTTGCCACCAACAGAGGACATCAAGCAATGTACTGTTTATTGAATGTGAAATCTACTCTATTAAGGTGAACTAATAGTCGAAGAAGGTTAAAGATGGCCCTTTGCTGTAGGTAATTGCTCAAGTCATACTATCTGTTTTAGTAACATTATGTAGATATTTGGTGCAAAGTCTGTTATTCAAAAACTCTAAACTAAACTAAAAATCATTGAAAATTATTTTAGTCCTGTATAAAAATGTTATTCTGAAAACGTAGTACTTGACAGCACATAACAAATTTTTAGTGATTTTTAGTTTAGTGAGTTTTCGAACAACAGAATTAGCACTATTATCTAGATATAAAAATACTTGCCCTGATTGACTGACTGATTCATCAATGCAGAGCCAAAACCGCTAAGGCAACAAACGTGAAATATTGGCAACTGATGTGTGAAATATTGGATTGAACTGGAGCACTGACTATAAAAGCATCATTTTCAAAGTTAGAAACACCAAATAAATATTAATAGCGTGAGCGAACCCGGGGGCAATAGCGAGTCGTTGATAATTCCAGTTAAAAGTAGTTCTAATTATTTTAGGATCGTATATTAATAAAATAAGAAATAATTTTAGAATACTACAAAGCTATATAGTTTTATTTATGTTTATAGTAGGTAAAGTGAAGCTTATTTATTCAATTTCAGACAAAAGTGCAGTATATAAAGAAAACAACTCAGATTCTTAAAGATCAATATAAGTGTGACATCCCAGATACTGTGGAAAAACTCTGCAAATTACGAGGAGTAGGGCCAAAGATGGCTCATATTTGCATGTTGGTTGCTTGGGACAAAGTTACTGGCATAGGTAAGTCGGGCTTTAAATGTACCTATATGATAATTATATTATACATAAAATAATGAATTGTCTTATTTTTACAGGGGTGGACACTCATGTTCACAGGATAAGCAACAGGATAGGATGGGTCAAGAAACCAACTAGTACTCCCGAAGACACAAGAAAAGCTTTAGAGACTTGGCTACCCTTTGAACTATGGAAAGAAGTCAATCACCTTCTAGTTGGATTTGGACAAACCATATGTTTACCTATTGGACCTACATGCCATGAATGTTTGAATAGGGATATTTGTCCTTCTAGTGGGAAAGGAAAGAAATCTCCAATGAAAAATGTAAAACAAGAAATGAAAAGTGAAAGTTCAGATTTTGTAAAAGAAGAAGTAGACAATGATAATCAAGTAACTGGTGTGGAAGCAAGTACGAGTAAGGAGTTTCATGATTCTGAAATGAAAGATGTGTGTGAAGTAAATAATGTAAAAGTGGGGGGTAATAATAAATTAGATTCAAAGAGTCATACACTAACCAAAAAAGTTACACCTAAGAAAGTATCAAATGACATAAAAGAGCCTGAAGTTAAAGAAGCTGGTGTTAGTGATGAAATGTTAAACATTGAAGATGCACATGTATCAAAAAAATCACCTCGTAAGAGAAAAGTCACACCAACAAAAGCAATAAAACAAGAAAATAATCTTCAAGATGATGATAGTGATGATTTTGAAGACCAAAATGACAACCTTGCTACTCAAAATAAGATTAGTAGAAAAATTACACCTAGCAAAGGAAATAAAAAACTAAAAGCAAGTCATGAAAATGCAAAAACACAAGACAATTATACAAACAGGAATGATAGCAATCTTGAAGAAGTCAAACCAGAAGTTCATGAAGAAGACCCTGATTTTCAAGGATCAAAAATTGAAAAGAAAGTTACAAAACATAATGGAAAGGCCAAAAAGGTGCTTGCACAAAAAAGATCGCCAAGGAATAAAGTTTTAAATAAACCAAAGCCTAGTGGAGGAAGTGATGGTGTTCAAAACAGAACGAGAGGAGCCAAAAAGTTAAACAATGAATAAAATTAGTGATTTGATTCAAATTTTTGAAGTAAGTTCTCATATCAAACTTAGAAAGTGTATTCAGATGTGATTTCAGTTTTCTAGTGATACAGAAGCAAGACTGGCTTTGCTTACAAATTAATGTTAAGAGTAATGTATGATATGTATTTATTGATTCTTGTAGAAAATAAAGAATTGAAACATATTTGAATGTTGCAGTTCTTTACTGTGATTTTAGTATTTAAAGATCTGAAAGCGAACTACATAGTCATGATCATTTGTTATTATGGATGCTTATTGATAATTATGTGAAGTAAAATGTGATTTATTATTGTAATACTTATTATATATTTTACTAAAATAAAGACAATAATTAAATTCAGTGTTTTCTTCTTCCTCCTTTCTTCTTTGATTTGTCTTTTCGAGGATCAGCTTTGGCCATTCTTCCTTTCTTTTGCAAAGATTTCTTTTTATTTTGCACTCTATCCAGTTTGCTTTTCATCTGGAATACTTTGCTTTTCTGTATTTTCTTTGTGGCCTGTTTCTTCAGCATTTGTTTTATTTCTTTTTTTGTTTTACTTTTTTTATCATCATCTTCATGGTCGGACTCTTCTTCTTCTGCACTTTCCTCATCAGATCCCATTCCTGGAATAGATTCTTTAACTGTTTCTTGTTTCTTAATTTTTTCTTTTTTAATTATTTCAGTAGCTTTATTTTCTCCTATAACTAAGTCTCTCTTCTGTAGTGTGTCTGATGATAGTTCAACAATTTTAACATTAACATCTTCATCCTCATACTCTTCTTGGAGTAGTTGTTCTATGTCTGGTATGGGTCTGCTTGAGACTACCAGCTTTTTGTAAGATTCTTTATTCTGTAACAAAGTAAACAATTAGTATTGTTGGACCTTCCTACATACATTACTTTTGTTCCCTTATAAAGTAAGTACATTATTATTTATTGTTCCAACTTATTTGTGTTTGTTTTATGCATATCATTATATTTCATATTAGCCACAGAACTAACAACCGTTGGGGTAAAATAGTTCTTGAATGTAGACCATGTCTCAGCATAAATAGAGTAGGGTGCCCACAGGCTAAGTGAAGTGATGATTTACAGAAGATGGTTGGCAGGAGCTGGATGCAAGAAGCCGAGAATTGAACCAGGTGGTGTGCAAATGGAGAGGCATATGTCCAGCAGTGGACTACAATAGGCAGATAATGATGATATTAATTAAAACTGAAAATGCATAAGAACCATTTGAAATAATATATGTTTACTAAAGTTGCAAAATTAAAACTTATAATGTAGATAGATTTAGGTACAATTTTATCACATTCCTATAAAATTTCATGCAAAGGAATCACAAACAAATTTGAAAAATGTATCCTGTTCAGTGAGATTATCAATTATTTCTTCCTTCTGAAAATTTAGAAAACATTGATAGTCTGTTTTGCAAATTGCTCTTATGTGCCTTTGCAGTCTCACAGGTGATATAATGCTTGATGTTCGTTGGTGAAATTACTTAAAACAGTGAGATGAGATGACTTGGTATTTGATAATTCAGGTTAAACAAGAGAAAAAAAATTGTACAAAAAGTTACTCAATAAGCTTTATAAAGTCCTATTGCCATGATACCAGCTAGCTAATCTTTGTAAGTAACCAGTTATGTTAAAAATCAAAAAGCCTTTTATTTGTTTGTTTTGAAACAAATATGGACAATAAAATCGTAGACTTTCTATCACATTATTAAAACATAAAGACTCGTCTTACCTCTTGTTTTATTCGTTTTTTCTCTTCTTTTAACATACGTTGCAGTTCTTCTTGTGCCTTTTTTTTTCTTTCCAACTTTCTTTTGCGGAATCCACACAAAAACTCCCTGAAATAAAAAATATACTTAATATTTTTCATTTACAGTAAATAGCACTTTATTAACAACGAGAATGTGTTAATTACTTTCGTTTGGACTCGTCAAATACTAAATTGATTTTCTTTTTCCTGCCCTGATCTTTATTTTTCTTTCTGGCCATTTTTCCTTTTTAATTTACAATAAAATTCTCTGAAACACGCGTTTGGCGAATTTCTTTTGAACTAACCTCAAAGAACTTGGTTTGTTTGACAGTATTTGATTTTATAATGACAGGACAGGACGTGACAGTTGCGTTCCCTCTATCATCGTAGTGTGTTTCATGTAGAGATGGACGATATACATCGATTTATTTAAAACACTCGATGTATAGTAACGATGCATTGTATTAAACCGATGTATTGTTAATACTTCAACATCGAATATATATCGATGTTTTTTATTCGATGCATCGACCAAGCAAATTATGAATGAGTATAGTGTTGTATAGCCGCCAAATAGCTATAGTTTATTGAGCGGGGTTCTTTTAATTCGCCCGTTGGAACGCTGTAGGTCGTTCGACTCGTATTATTCGTTTGTTCGCGGGAAAATTAAATTAAATTTGATTTTTATTATGTGAAAATACTAGATTATGAATTCGCTTTAAATAAATACTCACTGAATTGAACGAAGGAACCGACTGAAGGGGAAGAGATTAAGTAAACTTTGGTTTTTACATAGCATTGACAAAAAATATTGGAATATGTAAAGAAGAATGTGTTGGTTGTGTGATTTTGAATTTGAATAAATATATTTCCTGCTTTTATTAATATATATATTTTTTTTAATTAAGGCCTAACCTAACCTAAAACACGTCATGGCGAAAATAATCGATGTTTAAGAAACATCGATGTATTTCTCAATACATCGTATTACCATCGATGTGACCGATCGATGCATTACATCGAAAAAAACATCGATGTATATTTTAAATGTCCATCTCTAGTTTCATGTGTGGTTTCACGTAACTGAGTACCTACTGTGACAACTGTAATTTTTAATGGAAAACCTTTTGGTTACCCTAAATAATTATATATTTTTCTGGTATTATTTCTATGCAGGAAGTTGATTAAATCTTCAAAAAATCATTAGTATAGAAAGGAGCAAGTTATATGGAGTCACGGGTCACGGTTCCAATGTAAATTAATACAACGTGAATTATTTATGATAATTTAGTACAAACAAAAACCACAAAAATACACCCTACCTCGAATGTGTGCAGATGTGTGCTTATTAGAGTTGTGTAGCTCCTGAATGAGTGATATAAAAGATATATATCATTCACGACGATAAAATGTATCACTCACTCACACTAGCTCCGAATATATCAGTAACTCAGTACTAGCTCACTAGATCATTAGATCACTAGCTCAACGACGCCGATCTTTGTTTCATGAGCGAGTGAGACTAAAGATAAATGAGTGAGATAGATGATGGTTGAGTTCACGCAAGTTTCTTTATGCAAAATGTACATTATTTCTATAGGATCAAAATTTAATATTAGGTACTTAAGAATTAAGCCTGCCAAGTACAAGGAAAATCAAATTATGTATTATTTCTGATATACAACCTAAAAAAAAAGTACAAGAAATAATTTCTTTTTTTAAATATTATATAAAAGGGTGTTAATAATTATGTAATTTTATCATAATGAATAAATTTTATTTAAAAAAAAAAGGTTAAAAATGTAGTTTCAAAAACTGAATTTAGGTTAATATGAAAATAAAGAAAGGTTTGTATGGCGAGAGAGGCTTAAAGTGGCTTAAAGACTTAGATGAAGAAATGAATTAATTGAGAGACCAATCAATTGAATCGGATCAATGAGCTAGTGATCTAAATGAGTTGGTGAGCTAAATGAGTTGGTGAGCTAAATGAGTTAGTGAGATAAATGAGCTAGTGAGCTAGATGAGTGATATATATCTTTTGAGCGAAATGATATGTATCAATCTTTTCAGCTCAGTGATACATTTTGCGCATCACTAGTGCTTATCACAGACATTTGGCCAAATTTCAAGATTTTTGAAATTCTAGATGGCCATTGGTGGAAATGTTCAATTAATTTTTTTTATCAGCTATCTTTCGACCAATCAGCGCATAAGACCACAATAAAGACGGACTCATCAGCAGCATGGCTGTCAGTATAAATTTGAAGCTTGGATGATGCGCTTCCTCTCGTCACATCGGTTTTTTTTGTTTGTGCAATTTGACGAAAATGATATCGTATGTGATTTTGTGTGGCCTAAAATATGGAAATCCTTGGGTGCAGTGACCTGATATCTGCTTCGTTACGCAAGGTGAGTGTGTAATAGAATTTAGTGATTAGTTAGAGAATGATTATAATATTAAATATTTCCGTAATGAGCTGAATGAAATTACAGAATAGAAAAATCAATCGGTAAATTGCTACGTATGCTTTCGTCACAATTTAATTTGGGTAATCCAAGGTTACATTCTAAGGTCTTAAAATGTGAGAGTAAGTGCATTAAATTAGAGTAATCAATATGATTGTGTTACCACGGCCATATGTTAGCACGCGTGAAAGGATAGTCTTTCATACGTACCGTTACGGTTCTAGTCATCAGTGTTTTGATCAACACGATGAACACTCATCTGATTATGTTAGAACGTGAAATTTGTATGCTAGCGATAGGGAAAGTCAGTGAGTATTTGCATTAGCGAGGATTCGAATGTCATTGTTCATGCGTAGGTATATCATAGCGAAAATGTTTGTATGGGTGCATTTTCGTAATGAAATGGTATTGATTTTTAACTACACCCACTTGCTTCTCTCCCTCTTCTGAGGCAAAGGATGGTATTATGCGGAATAAAAACGTGTATCATAATAAATATGACTGCATATAAATATTATTACATATAATATAGTGTTAAAAATTTATTTTAGTCTGTGCTTACTTTATTTATAACAAGAATAGTAAGTTTTGATAAACATATTGTGTGTAATTCTGTGTTATTTTGTTTGGGAAAACCTGTCTGATCCCAGTGACTAAGTTCTTTTACTATTCATATTAATACAATGTTTAGAAAATTCTTTGTCCATATAACCCAATAAGATGTATACATGAATGTTTGCTTTTAAATAATTTAAATTTCATTTTCATTTCAAAGTTTTAATAATATTATCATCATAGTACACATGTTGCTGGCATGTATCAGTGAGTATGACCATCAATATCAATTTATTTTTTATGCAAATTAAAAATAGTTTTTTTATTTATTTTAAGAATATTTTTACATATTAACTAACTAACTATGTCTCTGACTATTAAATTTCAGAAAAAAACAGGATAACATTTAAAAATGCAATTGTTCTAGGTAGTTTTAATCAATTAAATTCAGAAATCCCATTTGACCATTAGTTACTTAACCTGGTGTGATGATGAATACTGACTTCCAATCCGGAAAAATAATAATTAGGTAAATGATCCTTTTGAAATATGGTGCTTAGTGACCAGACTAGGCTCAAAAAAATGATATCATGTGTACAGCTTAGAGGGTTTGGGTGCCCTAGATTTGTTCATTCATTTATTTAAGGATCAACAAAGGAATGTACATAAACTATCAAAAATAGATTTCAGACTAGTATTTGATATGTATACTCATTACCACCACAACATGCACATTAACAATTAAGTAAATAATATAATACAATAGAATTTAGAACAAAAAAGTGCTTGACCATGGGCCTAATAGAAGTTGCCTTTTGAATATTAACTCAAATACATTTTAGAATACTTACTGTAAATTATTATTATATATTTTTGCAGTGACACCAACTAACTAATAATAGACAAGGCAATTGTAAAGATTTTTATTTCAGAATTAGTGTTGTATTGTGTGTGCTTGTGTTTATCTACCTATATGCACATTACCATATGTTTAGTTTTCTGAAACAAGTGGGACTTCTAAGTTGATCTAGTGTTTAAGAGTTACACAGAACTACACAACTACTATAACACTATTACACACATGACTTTATCTATAGGAACTGTCATATTAATTTTATTGTCTCAAGGCACAATACACCTGGACTGAAAGCATAATAAATGTCTCATCTTTTAACTATACTACCCAGTAACTTTTAGACATGTTTAAACCACTTTGCCATCCATGCAGTCAACTGTAGAATGGAGTGAAAACAAAGACAATCACTTCTTACAGATCTCTTGATAAGCATGAAGTTTGTATTTATCTCTGTATAAGCTGATAAGCTGTAACAAAATTCATCTAGCATTGTGCTGACTAAATTTAATTTCACCCAGTATTTATCTATCTTTAGTTAAATCTAGCTTAAAGTTAAATTTGACCCTCTTTCTGGTTGCCAAATGACCTGAAATTTTCATGCAAATGTAAATTGATGACTGCCATTTATATTTGTCAACGAGCAGAACTGATGACGGGTCCAATAGGTGGTCATAGGGACTCTTTATTATCAAAACAACTATATGTTGTGTTTGGGCTTGTGGAATAGATCTCAAGATCTTTTATACACTATGGGAGAGATTGAGGAGCTTTTCAAGAGAACTTCATCTACTATCATATTTGTAATATAGTTTTTGTTCAGGGTTGGTTAGGTGGATTCATAATATCTACGAACGATGCAACTGTAATTAAGGCACAAGAAAGAAAAAATCCTTTTTAAGAATAGTTTAGGTTTCATCAAATTATATTTTGTTTTCAACAAGGTTGTCGCAAAGTGTATACTGCTTCAAGTTACTACTTGACAAAAAATCACACTCTCTCTCCCTCTGCTCTGGCTCTTAAGAGCCAAACCCTTGTTAACAATCAATCTACCAAGCTGCTAGTTTTTTGGAAACAAATAATTTAATTAACTCATTCTATTCGTTACTTTGTCATGGCTTTGAATAATAGCTACTTTTGAAGAAACTTTTTTCTTTATTTTATGACAAATGTTTTGGGTTGTTGTTTTTATGTCGTTATTTTTTTTTTGCTTGCATCAATAATAGTAATATACTGGCAATAAAGTCATGATAGCTGTAAGTGCTTATCATGTTGTATTATATGCTAAGATAAATAACTAACAAAGTCAACACTCAGTCCAGTATTAACAAGACTATGTTAAGTTATTTTGTACCAATGGTTCAT